TTTATTTGAATGCGACAGACATGTAAAACTGCAACTGGTCTAAATATATAGATCTCGATCACATAGAGAATCTTTTCGATGCTGCGACGCCTTAAGGAGCGAGTGCGTTAAGAGAAAAATCACTTAGCAGTTTGAGCGCTTCATGTGGGATCTTTCTTTCACTCGTGGTTCTCGTCGCAGTAGAGTTAGTTCTTAACCTCTATTTGTCACACATGTCTTCCGCCTTTTACGGCGATTTCCAAAACTGATTTTGATTTATTGGCTCGTTTTACTTCTCAGTAGATGATTTGCTCATGCATGTGTAGTGCGTAATGTACCCCTGGATTTAGAACATGAAAGGTGGATTCCTATCCATTCCATCCATTTATGTGCATTTGGTCTTAACCGGAGTCTGCAGAGTCGAGTAGAAACTAAGTTCGAAATATGGCAGCGGTTCCCGATATTTTGTCAGACACATGCTCTAAGACTCTAGTTTTGCGAAATTTACCCGCCCACAGAAATGCCGAAGCGTCAATGCTTGAAATGTGTACAAAAACTGACGTTCACATCTCATCCTAGTCCTAACTCTTACCGAAATACGCAATAGATTCCTGTTAGTTCCAAAATAAACTGCTTAATGTAGTCACTTTTTTATCTACTGCCTATTCTTCTTATGACAGGATATGATGTAAAATATGTGAAATATACCCACAGTGATGCCGGGATACTAGCAAAACTCTGTACGGCAGGTGTCTGTGGTGGGGAACGAACACGATGTTACCCTTTCCAAGGGCTAACGTGTTCACCGCCACACCATTCGGGTCCTTCGTTTCGCCTTTCTCTCAGCCGTGTTTTAAGGAGTCAAATGGCGATTTGCGCTTCCTGGATCAATCCCAGTGATGGGTAATTGCTGATAGCACCTAGAAACACAAATGAAGAAATGAAATGATGATCTGCTGATCTGCATGGTTTGGTGGTGAACGTGTTAGCCCTAGGAAAGTGTGATAGCGTGTTCGATGACCACCACAAACACCTGTGCTCCCGAGTTTTGCAAATATCTCAGCATTATTTCGGTAAACTGTTTGACTTTGCGGTGTTCGGTTGTAAAAGATGCAATTAATCGACTTTAAGATCTTGGGGAACCAGCTCCGGCAATTTTGGTTCTGTCCCTTTTTTGTTGTAATTCTTAGTCAAATAATTGATAATTTTGCGTTTCCAGCTATGAGGTATTTCTAGTTAGTGAACATAACAATATTTGTACTGATTGATTAGTACAGCAGCAAAATTTACTGCGTTCTTGTTCATGGACACAAATGGATTGATTTCTATACGAGTTCATGTGGCCCACTGTTCTGCTAACCTTGAGGTTTCTATAGACCATTATACGTGGAAAGAGTTCCAAATACACTTTTCGAGAGTTTGGCCCTTACTATTAGCTGATCTTATTGAATCGTCTTAAGATCTTCGCTTGAAATTACTTATTATTTGACAGTAGCAATTGGGTACAAGGGCTTGTAGTTCAAATGGCCAATGACTTTGTTGGCCGGTAGCCGAATGTGCATTTTTAACGGCAGCAGTTCTAGTATATTGGCTGTTTGAAAATATTACATCGAAGGTTTATTAAAAGGGAAACTGATGTTACTGTAAGCACAATCAGCGCTTAATGGAAGGTTTCTAGCATCTATCAGCGCTTCTCGTGCAAAACTTACCCGAAATGCCCGGTTCGTAGCAGTTTCGTTCCGAAGCAATTTATTCTTATTTTCTTACTTTCAACTGCTTTTAACACTTAGTTCACACAGTGGATGGTGTCGAAAGCAAATGTTCATTTGAAGATTTAGGTTTTTCGTAGTTTCGAAAACTTGGCAACTATGGAATTCCTATTAGAATCGTTAGATCACATAGAATTTCACTGCTGTATTTTTTTAAATTGTCCACAAGCTGTTCGATTTCATTTCCTTGGTTCTCATCAGATTTAAAGGTGTTCATACCCCAAACGAAAAAATTAGGAAAACAGTCCTAATTGACGATAAGACAAATGTTTGAAAGCTGCAGAAAGTGTGATCAAATAAAAAAAAAGGAAGCTGTAAAAAACTTAATAACACTAGGAGGGCTTGGTCCCCTTCTTAACGATAAGTTATCGATTCATGAAACCTTAACCAGTAAATTCCCTTCATTTTCCACTTTGGCCAAGGTCAAGGATATCGCGTACCGCCTCATAGAAGTCCCAAAAAGGCGTGAGAGTCTCAATGTTAAGCATTAGAAGTACATAATGAAAGCCGATGAGCGATGTGCATGTTGCCGAAAGTGTTAGGTCTAAGCACATCAATGAAAAATGCAAAAAATTGTCGCCAGGCACTGCACGCATCGAAGGATTTGTCTCGAAAACGTTATTTCTTTTTAAATTACTAAGTATAGAGGATAGCTTCTCGTAGAGCACATTTTTTCACGATTGCCACACGATTTGTGTTCGATAAACTATCGTTTGAACACGAAAACCATGTCAAATATACGCTTTGTGATAAAGTAAACAGAAAGGTCATTCATTGATACCACTGCATACATACATAATCACCTGTGCGTTAATAGATGGGTGACAAAGTGAGTCATTTTGCCTCACACGTTACAGCACACGAAGGCTGAGTTGAGTCACATATGATTCATGTGCTTTTCGACCGTTCATCTAGCCGTGTAGAGATTTCCTGCTTCACCTTTAGTAATAATTCGATAACTTGTCCAATGTAGATACGCTTTTAAACGTGATCGGTGGAAAGATGTGCCGTTCACTTAATAACTTAAAAACACATCTTCTCGAATATTTTCACTGACCGATAATTTGGTTAGTAGTCGACGTACTTCTATTCTTTTCACTATAACAATCATGGTTCCCATTTGAAACAGCCGGCGTAAAAAATCACGGAAGTGGGCTCAACATAGACCAGAAAACACTTTCGAACGCCAACAACAAAGCGATTATAATATGAAGTATATAATACTATACCATAAAAAAGTTAAGAAGTGTCCTATCAAACAAAAAAGGACAACTGTAAGGCCATATCGTTAAGAAAGCATACTTTACTATAAATAATAAAAGATAAAGGCTAATAAAAAGGAATATAAATAGATGAGTTTAACTTTAAACCTGACAAAGAAGTGCACTGAGGAACTTGGAACTGAAGTGATTGCACAACACCCAAAGCTGTATGAATATAGAAACCCACAACCGCATAAGGTACTCAAAAACGCTATCACAACAAAAAGGACAAAGAGAAAGCAAGAAAAAGTAGAGAAGTCTCTGAAATATAAAATGGAGGTATGGTTAATCTAAACAGGAAAAGGCATACGTAATTCGACACTTTAAGAAATACAACAGGAAATGAAACACTTGGAAAGGATAGTAATGTGAAAGAAGAATTAGCAGTGTCAAGCCAAATTTCCGAACATTCTATCGCTTTTTGCCTGCCTCAAGCTCCTTTACCACTCCGTCCGGATACGCGAAATAAACCTTGTCAACCACTCCAAGAAAAAGTCCAGTTTCAACAACACCTATAATAGTTCTTAAACTGTATTGCCGAAGATACAGTATTATTGTAGTATTACAAGGATAGTTACATATGAGCGGCACATGACCTCTCATTTGGGCTTCGAACCCGTGATTACCCTACCGAGGCCTCACATGTTACTCACCACACCAACCGAATCCCTTGTTTTGCTTTACTTTTAATCAATCTTCCATTGATAGGTGACTGCCAATGGCAATGATACAGCAAAAGTGGCTGAATGAAAGGCAAAGCAAGGACCTCGATTGATGTGGTGGATAGAAGGTGAACCTCAGGTAAGGGTAGTCGCGGATTCAAACCCCAATCGAGTTTTGCGCATACCTCAGCGTTCTCATGATTGTGTCTAATATCACACCTTGCCATGAAAAGAAGAATAGATAGTAAATGAAAAAGTTAACATTGTGATGCAGCATAATGTTCGCTAAATACATAAGCCACTCCCAAAAGTAGTTTCGATATCGAGAAATACCATAGAAATCCGAAATTCCTTTCCTCACAAATTGAGAGGTCAAAATGCGACTAAACTTAATCATGGTTAATTCCATAAACGATAGTAGAAACCAACTACCACAGCTGACTGAACAGATGTCAAGTGGACGTCACAAGCATGCCGTTGATTCGATCAAGACCTGTGCTCAACAAACCTATTTTTACAGGGTAAATTGGTATCAGACTTGTTTGAAAAAAAGAACCATTTCCCCTAGTCTATGTGGAAACACTCCAATGCGACTGTGACGAAGGTGGAAATTATCAAGCAGTAGCTGAACCCACATGCAAAAAGTGCGAAGACTTCCGCTAATGATGGATGCGACGGGACGAATCGAATGTAATGTTTAACACCCGCACAGTGGGTGTGAAGAAATATGTAATGTAATCATGTACGAATCATGTAAAACATTCACTTAGATACTTGGATAGCCCGTCCTCATTGGTTGTGCGAATTCCACCATAACCTCCAGTTTTCGGAGCCTTGTTGGTTTAGCCATTGTGGTTCTCTGGAATCTCGAGAACACCTCCCCAAAGTCTGCCCCATGTCGTCATCTCCACAGGCTGTCACCGCCCTTGTGGAGAGATTTTCCACCATGCGACTAGTTTGATGCCAGGACTACAGTGGATTCTGGCATTGTTTTAATCTTAGCTGAGCTTCCTGATAGAAACACCGGACTCCATCTCAGCTTCGGACACCCTGCAGGGGGATGAATTCCCCAGCTGTACATCGTCGCCCGACACCCAGCAATACCTCCCAGCCATGATGAGGCGGCAGACCGTTGAACCATGTAAAATAATTAAGAAAAAATAAAAGTGAACCGACGTATTCTCATCTTAGCCATCTGCATATGATTCAAAGGTGAGAGCAGAACTCAACCCGGTGCAAATCAAATGAGTGCAACTAGCTGTTGAACCGACAAACGGTAAATGAACACTATTACCGGTTGCACTTATACTCAACACAGTGATCGGGGTTTATTTTCTTAAAAACCGTTGCGAAGTCCGTAAAAGCTTACCAGGAGTATTGGCAAGTCTCATTTGAACTTCCTGCCAATTACGAGTCTTGTTCTTTTCAAAAGCCCAATCAATGATATAGTTATTATTATCAGTAAGCACAGGGCCACACTTTTTCACAGCCATTCTTAATTGTGCACTACCGCCTTCAAGACGTGGTAAAGATCTCAGGACAGATGAAACAGCGAACGGCAGTACCTGAAGTATAAAACACACAGACGTCAATACCACTTGTAAACAAATACCGTTTTCAAATTAACAAAGAAAAAGCAAGCTACTAACTCGTACGCAACACTTACTTCAATGGGAATATGATTATAATGTTCTCCAAGATTTACGGATTCCTTTGAGCTATCAGCAATAACCTAGAAAGAAATGGCATCTCACATAGAAAAATTACATCTCAAAACACGATCAAAATTAGGTTAACGCCTGACGCCACACATAAATTCAAGACAGGATTAAATTCTAGTTACATAAGTGTTATAACAGCTTACAAAGAACTTCTGGGCAGCATGTTGAACGATTTTCTCACGGGCAAGGCATCCACCGCCACCCTTGATACAGTTGAAATTGGAGTCAACCTGTACAACGAGTTCAACACATTTGAAGGATATGATCACAGTTATCAAGAATAAAAAGAAGTAGCGACTAAGTGGAGAACACTTGTTCCAAATGTAGATTTTGTAGATACTGGAACACAAATGGGAAAAATCAAGTCCAAGTGGTTATCGCTGCGTAGTTAAAATTGGTCGTGAAGAAAAACGATCAATGACCATCTGAAGACAAAAAAAAATGAAAAAGATCTATGTTTACATAAGTTTGCAGACGCTCTAAACGGATAAAATGTTCCTTAATATCTCAACGGAGCTCGTGTAGAGCAGTGGTTAGAGGTGTACTACAATATACACGTGGTCGTTGGTTCGATTCTCTGGTTCAGGTTCACCAAACCTTCGATCCTTCCAAGGTGGACAAATTAGCAACACACTTGTCTGGTAAGATAAAAGCACTGACTTGATACATCGATAGGTCATCACAAGTATAGCATATAAGTGTAAGTATACTGTACAGGTCAAATATGTATTCAACCACCTTAAATGATTTCTGATGAACTCGAATGCATGGCACATCCGTCAGGGATTGATCCATGCCTGACGTTTTATCATTTTCATCCTTGAACGCTCGGAAGCAATATCAAGACAGAAAACTCAAAAAATAGAACAAAACAGCAAACGTTAAACATTGTGATTTCAACTACAGCCATAGCTTAACTGGGTTCTATGCCGATTTGCGCTCCCCAGATCAACCCCGCTGACAGGTAATTGCTGTGGCAAAAAGATCGATAGAAATAGCTGAGAGACAGGAGAAACGAAGGACCCGCATGGTGTGGTGGTGAACGCGTTACACCCCGGAAAGGACAATACCGCGTTCGTTCCCCAACATAGACACCTGCGGTCCAGAGTTTTGCAAATATCTCAGCAACGTTGTGGTTGTATTTCAAAAAATAGATTTGAATGGATGCCAAAGAGATAGTCAAACGTCTTTTTCACTGCATTTTGATATGCAACAGAAACTAGATTCCGCATAACAGCAGGTGTTCCGGACAAAGTTGCTGTAGCATTGAAACATTTCTTGAAACTAAATTTACATCCAAATAAGGCAACCGTTCGATTCCTTTTAAGACGGAACCACCTTCTTCATAATCGAATGTCGAATCCTAACGTAACCCAAAAGTAATCCTCCGCAAAAGAGCCACTCTGTTGTGTGCAAGATGGCAATCAAACAAGCTGCAATGGAAAGTTGCAAAGGCAAAAATATGAAATTTTGCCTCATTAGAGAAATCCTTTGAAACTCCCGAAAACCGCACATCCACCTTTCGCAATTGTCGACACCAATGAAGAGCGAATCCTATGCTAAAAACTCCTTTGAAGAATTCTTGCGCTTTAGGTAATAGGAATTCCACGGTAAGAAATTCTTCAAGTTATTTCTCGTCGCCAAAAAAGTGAAACCTAACGTTTTTATGCTTAATAACATATACGCGACAAATGACTTCTCTCCGTAGTTGCCACATTAGAAAGTAGCCGTTCTTTTCCCACAACATGTGAAACCTATGACGTTAGACAGCAAGCCTTCGTCAATTGTCCAGGTTTTTCCTTCATGTTCAAACCAGAGCTCACGTTGTTTAACTATGACCAGGATGATTCTACAGCAAGTACTCCGCTTCCATAAAAGTCACACGATCAACTCATTGCTCTCAATTTTATCAACATTTAGCTTCATATCACAAATTTAATAGCTGGAATTTGGAGGGATTTGGGAGAGCCACCGCATCCGACCTACCGTACAACACAGATATTAGAGCCTTGGTGTTATCATTTGATTTGGACGATCAGGCATCATCTCTTACATGACAAAAACCCTGAGACTACAACAACATTTTAATCCTCTTCGGTAATTTCTTTACGTCATAACGCCTGTCTAGGAAAAGAAGATTCAGCACCAATTGAAAAAATGTGATAAGGTTCCTGATGATACTAGTAGCGAATTTGTTGCAAAGTTGTGTTATGAATAGATAAAGCAGAAAATGAAAACCCAGTTGGCAAATGAAGAATTCTCCTCCCCAAAAGTTAAGTTTTTTCCCAAATCTTGTATTATTTGTTGACGTTCTTAGATTAAAAAACTATTCCTTATATATTCTTGCATATCTTCTACACTCCTCCAAAAAATTAACATATCGTCTTAGCTAAAGAGAACCCTGTTTTCAGCGGTTCATCCCCCCGGCTCGTGCAGTTCCCTATGCTGAAGGATTCAGTATTTCTTGCCAGAAATCCAATCAAAAGTAGACTACGTCAATAACTGCTGTGCAGTTTACAGAAAAGGAACTAGACAACTCGTCCTAGTTCTAGTGCAATGTAAACTGTGATGTACACAAAACGTTCTTCAGATTACAACAGTTCCAACACCAATGAACGGAAATCGTCGGTCTAATACATAAACAAGACATCATCGAGAAACTTCGTGCGTTGGAAAAAAATACCGAGAAGAGAGCGAACACATATAGGTCACGTGCGAGGTTGTATTAAAGCTGATCACAGAGTCTAACATATACGTGTTTGCAGTTGAAGGCTTAAATCTGACTTAATTTCGGGAAAACTTTATTTCACTCTTTACCTCATCAGCTCCATCGATGCAGATGTCCAGTTCAGGGGTACCGTCCAAATCAGTGATAAATAAACCAGCATCCAGTAACCATTTCTTAGTCTAAAACATAAGCTATGCCTGCTACATTTTAGTAAATTGAATAATGACTGGTTTTATTTATCTATGTTCTGGTGAACTGCCCTTTTTGAGGTGATGGGAGGTGGGATTGGAGTCCCACTCGTAATAACACGGCTCTGAGGAAGACGAAATCGCCGAAACGTCAGCCACCGATCACCACCACCACCAACAACAACAACAAACTTATGCCGACCTCGCATCAGCTTAGTAAAGGCTGCTCATAAGGGCATATAAATAATTATATCGATTATTCATGCAGAAGTTTATAGAAAACCAGTCTTTTGAACTAATGACTGGGTTATAGAGAAAATTTGTTGAGGCTTCCTACACAGCCTATATACAAAGTATGGATAGAAGGATTTGCAATCGAGTAAATAGAAAGCAAAACCGAAATACTCGAATAAGGTGAAATTTAGAGAAAAGAATAAGCAAAACTTCCCATGAAACTTGACGGCACACAGACTATGTTTTGCAATTTTCCAGACTTAACTGCAGATTCCAAGTACTCGACGAGATACCTACAAACATAAACAAGAAAGAAACTATAGGATATATCTAAACACCAAATACCCGACACATACGCTTAACAATTGTAGTCTCCAAACAATGGAACTAACGCACTTTACAGTTGAGCCGGAGCCAACACCAAGCCGACAACCGCTTGTAATGTTCTTTTCCGCACAAACATACGCAGCCTATAGTTTTTAAATAACAGAAAAAGAAAACCATTAGGTGCTAAAGTATAACATTTAAATATATAAAGTTTAAAACGGTAAAAAGAAATAAAAATCTCTTGCCTCTGCCTTGCTTCCCACTCAGATTTGTATAAAGAGATGACAAAAACAATTATAGTCGAAAATGAAAACTGATACTGATAGATATACATAAAGAAGAGGATGAAGTTCTCGGCGTTCATCTACGCCTGAGGGATGCGCAATGTATTAGACTTCATTAAGCACTGTTGGAGGGGATTGAATGTATACCTTGCTTGTACAATGACTCGCAGTGGCCTATCGATGTATCGAGCCAGTGCTGCTATCTTCTCAGACAAGCTTGGTACCAATTTGCCGACCCCGGAGGGATGGAAGGCTTAGAGGCTTTGTGGTACAGGGAAGCGGGAATCGATCCCATGTGTGTTGCAGAGCGCCTCCGACCGCTGCGCAATATGCGCCTCGTAGATATACATAGAAGCCATCAAACTCCTATCATAAACAATAAATAAGCATACCTGTCTCTTTGCTCTCTCTAAAGGTGACAATTCTGTTGAAGAAACCATTTTTCGTACAGAAGATGCGAAACTGCGAATTAGCGCCACCTTAACACCACACACATACAATGGAAAAAATTACCACTTGCACCTTACTGGAAAAACGATTCAACTTTATTCAACGAAAGAAAACAACATCAAGTCTATAGCTGCCTGCAAACAGAAATTTGAGATATGAAAAAAGGAAGTTAGAGAAGGAAGAAACAAATTTGCTCTCTACAAGGCCAAACAAGTCGGAAAAATTGTTGGGTTTGTGAACAAAAAAGAAATGAACTCAAAGCGATGATATGGTGGCACCTAAAAGCATGGCACTAACAAGAAAGAAAAGAAAAGTACTGATGGATTTTTCCTCGAAAATTTTCGAACTCTCGTACAACTCGATGTATGGCACCCTCGCTGCATGGGACCAAAGATCTCAAGATGACAACTTAACGCAGAAAAATAATAATGCTACTCCAAAGAGAGCATCAACTGTAGGACTTACAGATCGTCCCATAGATAGCCGAGTAATTCAATCGGTTGCCATTAAATCTTTTATCCCTCCTTCCCTTCCCTCGCCTACTAGAACTGCTCAATGGAGTGTGCCTAGCCTGATGAGGATGATAGGACAATCCAATACTTCCCTTTAAATTTCCCACTCCACTTTCCAAATTACGCCCTTCAGAATTAAAATGAGTGAGTAGGTGAGACCGTACGGACCTCTTGAGACTTCTGCTTACTCCAATAGTGTTGTAGAATGGCAAACTGTAAGGCCTTTCTACTGAGAACAGGAGAATTAGAAAGTAGGACTCAGATGTGATTTTCAGGCGACAACTGCCACCTGGACATTAACAGTGCGGAAATTATGTCTAAACCAGTTTTACTTTGAAGTGGCGAACGAAGACAGAGTAGAGGTTAACGACTGACTGCAATGATTGTAAACAGACAGCGAAGTTCGCAGCACATACTTCCTAGTCGTCCTACCGACGCTAAAGTACTGAACGATTGCCATAACCTGCACTATATATGTACCACAAACTAACCACATTGCCAACATCTGTACTCATAACTTCTGAACATCTGAAGAAGCACCCTACGACGTCGGAACGAACTCTATTCAATGCGTACACCACACCACGAAACCACTTGTAGCGCACATTTCGCTGCCAAAGCTTTATGAACTGACAAACCATCATAAAATAAGGTAATGCTTACTTTCCTTGAGAAGGGACACCAAGTGTGTAACTCTACGAAAGGGACAAATACGAACGGACAGAACACGTTTCAAGCACAATCCGTTGTTAAATGGAATACTCATTATTTTCCTAGAAACAAAACGACAATTGCATAGTTCTACAGAAGGAGTACAGAAAAATGGAGATGTGTTTCACTGTCCTCAGGAAGGTACACCTGATGAATACGTGGAATACTTATTTTTTTCAAAAGAGAACGGCAACTGTGTAATTCCACAAAAAGAGTAACAAAAGACGAACGGCCACGTTCCACCGATCTTTAAAAGGATACCTGACGACTAAATATAACTAAATGTGATTCGCAAAATCTTACTTAGATACTTCAATGGCCCGCCTTCACTGCTTTTGCCGGCCCCAGCATAATTTTCACTTTTTCGGAGCTTTGCTGGTTTAGCCAATGTGGTTCCTTGGAGTCTCAAGGACAACCTGGCCAAAGTCCGCACCAGGTCGTCACCACCACAGACAATCGCCGTCGTTGTGAATCACAGGGAGATTTGTCACCATGGGAGTAGTTTGATTCCAGGACAACGGTGGATCCTGGTAGTGGTTAACTCTTAGCTGATCTTCCTGATGGAAACACCAGACTCCTCAGCTTGGGAGACTCTGCTGGGGTTAGATTGCAGCCGGACACTCAGGAACACCTCATCCACAATGAGGTATACTGTTGGGACGCGCAAATTAAGTGACTGAAACCCTGATGCTAGTTGGCATCAACAGTTAGAAGGTACCATATGGAGATGGAAATTGAACCTACACATACTCGAATATCGCTGCAATGACTCGTTAGGCATAATTGGATTTATAACAGAACTCTAAGTTTTTCAAAAAACCACTTCCGTTTAGCCTCGGCATGCCTAATCAATACGTGTTCTTCGAATGATAAATTAACACGAAGTTGACAAAACAGTTTCTTCCAATAACGTATCGACACCTTCGCCTTCCTCAGAGCCGATGGTAGGAACCGATGGTCAATTACCTTTGCCTTTGCTTTCCTATCAACCTCTTGTTAAGTTTTCAAAGAGGGAGTCCGAGTGTTGAGCACGAACATCATACTCTGTTAAGAAGTAGAAAAACAGCTGACAGTTCTCGTATAGAGGTACCCCATCCCATGATTCGTTCGAATGCTTCAAATCAAAAAAAAAGATCAGGTTAATCTGCTTCGAGAAGGACAGAATGGCTGTAATGATGAGTTTCCAGATAAGAGGACTATATAATTTCCAGACATTAAGACGAAGTGAACAATAGAACAAATATACTGCATTACAACCCCTTCACTCCTATTCAGCAAAGAATAGAACTTTAAATCAGACTTGATTTATCTGTAAACAATAAAAGTATTAATAAAGAATTATTATGTAAATCCACTTGAAGTTATGCACTATATTTAAAGCACCATATCACATCAAATGTGATAAACTATAGAGTTATGAAAGAAATGTACGACGTCATACAAGCACTCCATAGATAGAACAATGTAGAACGTATCAAACAATATCCAATAAAGAAAATCAATAACGATCGAAAGTAGTTTGTGTGATGAGAGTCAAATTTAGTAAGAGTTGCGATGATCAACTTATTCAAGAAAGGCATGTGAATGATGAGCAGTTACCAGTCAACGACGACTGAGGGTAATACAATGCGACTAAGATGGAACTATAGCCCTTTGTTTTTATTCCCAGCGTAGACAGGGTTTCTGAACGTCGTAGTTGCTTGCTTGTAGATAGGATTCTCATTCTAAAAGAACGCGTAGTTGCAATCCGAAACTAACACAACTAACGAAATGCTCAGAAAAACCGAGACGAACAATAGACACTTCGAACTCACCGTATCCCACTTAGCCATTAGCCGCTCGTTGTTAAATTTAGCATACTCAGCACGATCGTGAAGAACTGTGAGCAGTTTCCAGACAAGGAGAAGGATGATCCCAAGAATTACGATTCCAGCAATCACACCTAATACAATCGCTAACACTGGAACTGGCGGTGGACAATCTAAAACATAGACCATTTTCCAGAATAAAGCGATGGAAGATTCTTACTTTAAAGAACGACTGAGATAATTTTTAGAGCTACCCAGAACTTTCCGCTAAGGCACACGAGCGGTCACAGAGCATACCTTTGTGCTCGCGGACCCAAACAGTTGCATTGTCAGTTGCTTCATCATAGTAGTAAAGATAGTAAAAAGTACAGTCGTCTGCTGGATCGACGAATTGGCATGCAGTGGTCTCGTTTAATTCTGAAGTCATCTACAGCTAGGAAACGAAAAAACGCACTGCAAGAATCCAGAATGACAGAAAATATCTCAAAATCAATAACTAAGTCGGATAGCGGAGCTCACCTGGGAGCTCCTCAACAGGAATAACTTTAAATGGACACTCTTCACACCGCTCTTCGTCGTATGGACCAGTTCCCCATTGCTGGCACATAACGCACGGTTTGTATTCAATGCACTTCGTCGGACACGTCTGCAAAAGAAATAAATAAAGTACTGAACAAAGATAAGATAATCATTTTTAAACAAGTGCAAACCTACAGGGCAGATTTCGCATTTCGCACCCGAATAACGATTGCCGTCAGGACCATCGAAGCAGCGACATCGCCCACAAATGCATTCGCCCTTTCCGTTGCAGATTTTCCCATTAGCGGACATGCAAGAGTCTTGACTGATTGGACACTCGCATGCTCGACCTTCAAAACTTGTGAATGAACTAATGAAACACGTAGATGGAGAACGACCTAAGTTAATTGACGGTAAAATCTAAAAACACGCTTCACAGAACTATAATGATACTGGGATATTTGCAAAACACCGGAAACTCCAGACCGCAGGTGTCTGCGGTGGGGATTGAACACGCCATTACCCTTTCCAAGGGATAGCGCATTCACAATCACGCTATGCGGGTCCTTCGTTTCTCCTGTCTCTCAGCTAGTTTTCTATCTACTGGTGCCATCTGCAATCACTCTTCAACGGGATCGACCTGGAGAGGCCACATCGGAATTGAACCCAGTTAAGCCGAGGCTGTAGTTGAAATCACAATGTTTTACCTTCTATTTTCTGCCTACTACAATTTTCACGACAGGATACTACGAGAAATACAACCACAACGTTGCTGAGATATTTGCAAAACTCTGGACCGCAGGTGTCTATGATGATCCCGTTGACGGATGATTGCTGATGGCGCTGATCGATAGAACTAGCTGAGAAACAGGCGAAACGAAGGACCCGCATGGTGTGGTGGTGAACACGTTACTCCCCGGAAAGGACAATAGCGCGTTCGTTCCACACCACAGACACCTGCGGTCCAGAGTTTTGCAAATATCTCAGCAACGTTGTGGTTATATTTGAAATCACAATGTTAACTTTTTTTCTGCCTATTACAATTATAGCAAAACTCCGGAGAGCAGGTGTTTGCGGTGAGGCGCACTATTATCCTTTCCGGAGTCTAACTCTTCACAGATATGGTAGAAAAGAAAGGTCCACTCATTTCTCGTTAACAACAAGTTTGGTGCGTACAATGGCAACGTGGCACATCCTAAGGAAGTGAACGCGGATCAAAAAGAACTTGCGCTTGATCTCGAGACGCCTCTTTTTCACACGATGAAATCCCGCTCCTTTCTACAATCATTTGCCTTGTGCAATGCCTTCTTTGCTCGTGTAATTTTATTACCGCACACATGCATAAACGTGGTTGTATGCATATTAATTGCACTCAGCGACCCACATAAGACCCAGATAAGCTCCACAAATGAAGGAATTCGAAAGTATGTAGGAGGTGCTCCATGGTCGCTTCGAACAAACAGGCCTCAGAAAAGCTCTACTTATGTATCAGTATAGTCTCACCGCTTACACAACAGAGCTTAGTGAAACAATCGTGAGTATCCCTCATCAAAGGTGGCAAAAACAATAAAAATAAACTGCAACATAGGATAGGAGCGGTGCTACCCGCGTTCCTTGGGCAAAATCCCAATAGGCATGTTTGGTGCGCCACAAAAATAAATGTAAACGGGGTCGATTTCCGCTATATTTACTCCATGATTAATGAGATTATATGTAGCTCAGATTAAGAAAGCAAAACGTACCAGTCCAACCAGGAGCACAAATGCACTGTCCACAGTTGCATTCACCATGCTCAGCACAAATCTTGCGATCATGACGTGGACAGTTGAAATTGTCACACTCACAGAACTCCCCAGAAATCTGTTCCTCGGGATTCTGAAGTGAATAATGAATAAAGTCCACTACATATTTGGGGAATGGAAAACACCTCATGAAATTAAACGGAAAATTATTAATTAAAAAACTAGAACACTCATTCGCCTTCGGTTTAAACTTACTGGCTAGAAAATCGTTACAAACAACAGATATTTTAAGAAAAGAATAATGAATTGTTTCAAACCTGACGTGGATTACACTCACAGCGACCACAATTGCAAACTCCTCTGCCTTCACAGATCGCTGACTCATTTGTCCTTAATATGTGGAAAATAGAACTACACATATCTCAGGTTAAAACATATCTTCAAAATACATACATTGAAGTAATGCACAAAATGCTCAATTTATTAAACTGCTTGAACTAGTGCACATAATGTTCTTGTACACAGCGACTTAACTGAACTCATGATCCATAAAAAAATGATAAAGTACTTAGCGTTGATCAATCCCTGAAGGATGCGCCATGCAATGGATCTCGTTAAGCACCGCTGGAGATGACTTAATGTATATCTGGACTTTACAAAGACTCATGGTGGCTTACTCATATATCGACTTAGTGCTGCTATACTATCAAACAACTCTGGCACCAATTTGACGACTCCGGAGAGATGGAAGCCTTCGTGGGCCTAGAGCACAGAGATCAAACCCATGAGTACTGCAGGGCGCCTCCAACCACTGTGCTACACGTGCCTCGGAATTCATAAACAATTTTTTAAAAAGCTACCAAAATCTTTCGACGGCTCACCGTTTGCATTTTTCGTTCAAAGCTGCAGTGCTCATACCCGGTCGATTACATTCACAATAACGACCAACATTTCCACCTTTACAACGGCAAACACCGCATACCATGTCACCACCATGACAGTCTTCCGAGTTTTCAACAATGCGATCCTTAAAAACTTCATGATTCTGGGCAAAATTCTACGCCGTTTATCCAGTTATTATAAGAAACATACTTCCTGTTCACATTCACAATCGCAAAGCACCTTCACGTTGACGACTAAGGTCTCATCCAAACCAGACGGACCTATTCGAATCACGAAATCCCTTTTCTCAACACAGTGCGTGGCTTCTAATGTTACTTCGAACTGAACCTCGTCCCCGACACGAATTCCTTCGCATACGTTCGTGTCTTTTAAAGTAGTACCGCTAAACAAGTACGGGTTAAACTACTATCTAAGAAAAGGAAGAATACTATCAATCACTAGTAAGACGAGTGATATATTTGTAAGACCAGCAAAACTAACGTTTCATAAATGGAATAAACTATTCTTGGATACTTGGATGGCACGCCCTCACTAGCTGGGCGGGCTCCAGCATAATCGCCATTATTTTGGAGTCTTGCTGGCTTAGGCATTGCGGTTCCCTCGGGTCCCGCGGTTAGGCAGACCAAAGTTTGCCCCATGTCGTCACCACCACAGGCAGTCGCTGCCGTTGTAGATCAGGAAGAGAAAATTCCTCACTATGCGACGAGTTTGGTAGCAGGACGGTGACGGATCCTGGTATTGGTTTACTCTTAGCTAGGCTTCTTGACGGAAACGCCACTCCTTCTCGGCTTGGGAGACCCTGCCGGGTGGATGAATGCCCCCGCTGTATATCCCAGCCCAACATCCAGGAACACCTTCCAGCCACAATGAAGCGGTAAACCGTTGGGAGGAGAATGATGGATAGATATACCAAATAACAATGACAAAAACATAAATCCAATATTCGTTTGTTCACAACTATGTGAAAATCGAAGCAAACACCTAGCCGAATAACACGGATAGGAGTCAACTAACGAATAGTACTTGTTAAGATAACGGAATAAATCAAGAACACTTACTCGAGACACATGCTGCGATACGTGATTTTCAGACCATCGCTAGCATTAGCATTGTCCACCATAATTATCTTCTCACTGATTTTAAGGTACTCCTTCTCAATAAGATCGACAATGTTGCGCGAATCGGTCTCCAGAATCCCGACGGACGACGAAACGTCAGGAAGTGACTCGGACAACTTCAACGAGTTCATAGTTTGTCATAGGATTACAATCTAACAAAAAGAAAAGAAACATTGCAATAGAGCAGCAAAAATAAGCCGTTTTCAAAGACTTTATACCATTTTCTAGAATTCTTCAGTGATATTTACAAATATTAAGAACATTGGTTAAAGGTATATCAAGATTGCTGAGTGCCCTTTCCTCTCAAATACTTTAAAAAATCCTGCAAAGGAAGCAGAAGTACCTGTGAATAAAGCTCATGGTTGCCTTTAGTGACGGCGAAAATAATGTTTGCCTTTCTCTCCTTAATCAACTGATGAAGCAGAGCAATCGAGGGATAGTCCTGCATTAGATACTGTTATAGCACATCCATATTCAAACTACACAAATACTTGAAGACATTAGGTGTACGTATCTATTCGCAACGTCCTTAGAAACGTTTGTATCCGTAAAACACGTTTACAATATCTTGACAAAAACATTACAGTTATGAACTACATTCGAAAAAACGCTATATAAATGTAAGCCAAAAAGATAAAGCTCTTGGCGTTTATATATATCCCTGAAGGATGCGTCATGTATTCGACTTCATTAAGCATCGTTGAAGGTCACCGCGTGCACATTTGGCCTTTACAATGGCTCCTTAGGGCATGGGGATTGATCCCATGTGTACCGTAGAGCTCCTTTAACCACTGCTCTACACGCGCCCTTGTTTGCCATGACGGTTGAAATTTACTGAATTTGATGTAAATAAGCTGTCAACTCACCCATGCTCATCAATAATGATGGCCAGTAACTCATCAGAAGCTCAAATATCATTTAAGGGAAAGGATAAGTACAATGGAGCTGTATCATAGGTGTGGGATGAGTTCAACACTTCAAAGAGCAATTCACAGAGGATTCCACCGTCTGTACAGTAGTTCTGAGTAATTTCTTTGAATAAATTTGTTAAAAAACGCCTAATGGCGGTCTGCAGCGAATGTAAACCTATTGCCTAACATCAAGCGATTCTCTAATTCGTGGTTCGTTCTAAGCACGTCTGCGTCAACTATTTTGCTTTGAACTCTACGCTATGGATTTGAAGTTATTTTCCATCCGGAAGAAGAGAGCGGTCTTCAGCTTCGTGCAAATTCCACACGATATTGTCCTGTTCTATGGCTTCAGGAATATTACGAAAGCCAATGAAATGCCTTATTGAGGAACAATCAATTCTTGAGAACAGTGGAAGGAATGGAGACGAATACGACCATGTAAAAATTCTCAATGACAATTTTTCTGAGCGTTGTACAAAACGGATAAGATGTTGTCCTAACAGTGAGTTCGCATCGAGAATGGTAACGATCATCCTTTTGATACTGGGATTATTTTGCTTTACTCCAACGTTCGTTTAATTGGAAATTTCTAAATTTAAACGGCCGACATCCATAGCAACCATTAGGGAGGCAAAAACTACATAAACGATTGCTGAACCAGATCTTCAATGTTCTTTTTAAAAGGATAGAAAACCACGAATTAAATAATAAATCTTAAAACACTACCACAGAAGGCACCTGAAATCACAGAGAGAATTCCATTCAGATTCTCCAAAAGGAGAAGCTGATACCGATTTCCAAAACGTTCTAACCCGGAAACTCGAGTGTTTGAATTTATACGTACGACTAATGCATAAACCTTTTGTTAACAAATATGTAGAGAAAGTTAGCAACAAAGCAAAACGCTGTACAAATAGAACTACCGAAATTTCTTACCTGATTAAGGGTTTCAGTATAATATCCCTCTCGATCAAGATGACATTCTCCATCATTGGGTTCGATCACGCCAGCTAACTGCATTCATTCAAGATTACAAGTTATTACTTAAAAATACCGAAGTAATTGAAGAAAATGAAGAAGAGATACCAACCCTTCCGTCACCGGCAAAATGAAAACCAGCATCTGTCGAGAAGACAACCATCTTACGTGCACGCTCTCGCCAACCAATTTTCGTCTACAAGGATTTGTGATACATTCAAAAATATTAATATACACAGATATACAGCTCTTCCAATAACAGATGGTATTGATCACATACGTCACAAACTAAGGCCTGAACAACAGCATCGAATCCTCCTTCGGGAGCGTCAAGATTGCCGGAAATCTCAGCCTTATCCACTTCAGCCTAAAGTAAACACCCTTTAGCATCCATAGTGAAAGACAAGTAATATTCCTTCAAATAAAACGGAATACCTTAAACTTTTCTGTATTAGTTGTTAGAGTCATCTGATGTTTGAAACCGTACGGCTCAGCACATGGTTCCGCACAAGGTGATTTCTGTCTGAAATGATACTTATAGAAATTCTCGACTTTTTGAAGTTCTGAATTATGAACAAAGCCCACTTTTCAATTCTTGGATCAATAAACGGCATAAGTTTCTTGTCTATGAAAGAACCAAATCCAAGTCGAAAATTCTTCGTGATATTACGCATACGTACAGCTGGAATATTCAAAACATATTGATTTCTACTTGAAAGTCTTAAAAAGATTCTACAACTCCGTTTGACGAGCATTTTAGTGGACTAAAAGTTTCTTTCCTCTGGAGTCTTGAGATGATCTAGTAAGGTGATTTCAGGTCAAGGTGACGGGCATTAGCACCACGCCGATGACGTCGATCGACTAGGTTTCCATCAGAAAAGAGATGAACTCCAACACAGGTCTACTGGGCTTAGCTGGGGTTCCACACGGAAATGTGAGCGTTTTCATATCTTTGCTGACCATATGTGGTAGGTGACATGAACCCTCTGCTTTTTTTTTCCAGCTGAATACCTAGGCACTCCGATACCCATAGCGAGCACACAAAATCAAAGGAAAAACAGAAAACAAAGCACATAAGATTCTTACCCAACAAGTCACCAAGTTCAGAAAGCTTCTGCTTATCGTCCTTCATTGAATATGAGAGGTCCATCAAATAGTACAGATCAACAGGATAATCAACAGCTTGGCGATAAGTGACGTTGAAACGAACACGTGACTCTGCATATTCACAGTTTGGTTAGGAAATCAATAGAAAAGAAGTGGTAAAATCTTCCACATTAGAAATTTCTCTACTCACTTGGCCTTATTTCAACGAACATCTCCTGTGGTTTCAGCTGAACAGCATCATTTTCGTTCTCAACTTTCCCTTTATCAGAAAGCGGTTCATCCTAAGCATGCCACTTTAGCAGAGCGTTGTATAATCATGGGAGAATCAGTGACTACCTTCTCAACTTCAAGAACTGTTTGTGGGTCTTCGATGTACGATTCAGGACATCCATGTTCAAGAAGCCTTCCACGATTGTCGCATCTTGCATACTGCTTTTTAGCATCAAATAGCTGAATGTAAAGTCACAACTGAATAACTGATCTAACCGACTTAGTATGAAGATTTGAAACCAATACAGTAACATAATATAGTTATAACGGAGTAAGAAGTTATAGAAATTGTAAATCCAAGTGATGAATCTATTTAAACTAGTACGTTGTGCCGATACAAAATCGGGAATGCCTTCAATTAGAAGGATCTAAAGAATAAAAATAAAGTATGTAGCTCATGGCGTTCATTAATCCCTGAGGGATAATCCATGCATTCGACTTCATTAAGCATCGTTAGAGGTGATTGAATGCATATCTGGCCTTCACAATGACTCGCTGTGGCCTAACGACGTATCGAGCCAGTGCTGCTATCCAGCAAGAGAAGTCTAGTACCAATTTGCCGACCTCGGAGGGATGGAATGCTTGGTGAGCTTCGGGAGTGGGGATCGATCGAAGAGCGCCTCCGACCGCTGCCCTACTCGAAAAGCATCTAGTAGCAGGAAATAGAACTGCTTACCGGCGCTCCACACCAAGCACAAGAATCATGCAACTGGATACAAGCGCTACAGGTGTAATTGTCGCGAGATAACGAATAACAAGGAAAATCTTTCCGTCCTTCGACAACTTCACCGGTGACTGAAATCCACCAACGTTACATTCTCATCACTGGAAGCTCTCAGCAAACTTCTTGAAATCATCAACTTATATCTATATACTGACTCTTCAATACTAAGAACTCTACCTTCACCCGTCTTCCAATCACTAACTTCTGCGGCAAATATTGAACCTAACAAGCACAAACAGAGTGTGAAAATCCGCATTTCCTGAAACCAAACACCTCTCGAGGTCCACATATTTTTCAATATAAACTTTATGAAATGAAATATAAACCTCAGACTACTATTGTATAGGGGTTCGCGCAGAAGTAGACAAGTCTGCCGAGCGGAAAAACACCTGAAACAATTGAGCAATTACGAACAGTTGAAAACAAGAAAAATGAAGATATTTAGCAGTGAAATACAACCATAATGATGCTAAGATATTTGCAAAACTCCGGACCGATGATGTATACGGTGGGGAGCGAACGCGCTATTAACCATTCCGAGGGCTAACCTGTTCGCCACCACATCATGCGAGTCCTTCATTTCGCGTTTATCTCAGCCATGTTATTGGCATATAGGTGCTATCAGTAACCACCCGTCGACGGAATTGATCTGAGGAGCACAAATCGGCATTCAAACCAGCTAAGTTGAAGATGGCGTAAGAGTGAACGCGTAAGCCCCCGGAAAGGGTAACAGCACGTTCCAGTGTTGCAAATATCTCAGCACCATTATGGTTACATTCCACATAACACCCCGCTATTAAAAAGAAAGAATACGCAGTTAACAAAAAGTGACAACTGTTAGTATTGATAATTTTACCTACGAATAAGGAGAAACTATGAAGAGCTTAAATAAACAGTCCAAATCAAAGTAAATTTCAGAGAACGAAGAACTTAGCAAAGATAGCAAGAGAATGGCTACTTCATAGGAAGATCCGATGACAGACAATGCTATCGTCATGCTCCAGTACCTTCGAAAGTTTTACGGAGTTCCGTTGAGGTGATTTTCTTCAATAGAAACTTTTGTGGTAAACAAATACGCTTTAAACTCAATCATAACCAGTAATGTTATGCTAGACAGCATTTCTGGAAGTTCTACTACAAGAAATGCAAGATGCATCGTAGTGATCCCCTTCCCTCAGTTTCGCTGATACCTAATCCTGACGCTAGAACTCTCTCGCGGTAGCCAATTCGGTTAGCTCCAGGGTTATAAAAAAGTCAATCGAGCTGCTCGTATTTCAAACGAATCATCGACCATCAACTCGAATCATCAACTCTGATGAAGACGAAGACATCGAAACGTTGGCCGAAAATAAAGATTATTTATCAACCTCGTGTCAGCTTAACAAAGAAAGAGTACATATTGAGCTGATAGTGTCTTCTCTTTCTCTCTCTCTCTTTCTCTCTCCCTTTTCTTAAAAGAACAAGGAAGGATCCAGTAAACATCGACATCACATAAGCAATACTTATATGTTACTAAAATAACTACTCGAAACATATGACCAACGAGAATAACCATCTGAAAATGTTTGATGCATTTATCGATTTCTTTCAATGAACACATCAAAGATGCACTGCGTTTCTTTAAAAGATCCACGGCCTAGCCATCACAATGGAATCTAATAAGTGATCAGCTGGAAAACTAACTACTTCAGCATGTGAAAGTAAGGGTTTACTGCCAAGTCCAGAGGAAATCGATTTGCTAGCGAACGCGTCCGATGAGTAGGCGTTTGCACAAGACGGCAGCAAAAGCCGACACAGTGTAACCCCACGCTCAGTGCAAGGGCTCGAAGCAGTAAAGGCTGATGATAGGCTCGTGCTGGAAACCGAGTGAAGAGAATCCAAAATACGAGTGCGGAAATCCGTAAACTGGAAGCTTTCGAATTACGGACGACTTGTCTACATCCACTTCGTTTGCCTACACTACCTATGGGCTTTTCGTCCAAGTGAGCGCTCTGGTACTATTAGCATTTACAAACTTTTTACCTCCTTAGAATATCTAGCAACATTAAAAAGTGGAAAAACCTGAACACTTGGATTTTGACATACCGTACGTTGGCTAGGACGTTTCCATTAAAGCCTTAGCACTTTACGACTTAGATTTCCTAAACAGGCGATGGTGCAGTTACCAGTTGATCGTAGTTAAAAGCTGCCTTAGCGGTAGAAAAGTTGTTGAACAACATTTACAAACTAAAGAGCTAATTATGGAAGAAACTAATATCATATGAGAGCTAACCAACGACTGAAGATTTATTGAAGCAGATCCCAGGCTATCGACTCAAGTAGGCACACGAAAATAGCGTGCGTTTTATGTGGACGCAGAGCTGCTCACCACAGTGGGGCGTTGACGGGGCAACTGTTACGATGGTACGTCGTGCCATTCAGTAAGGACCAGTTTTGTCTTCATGTGTCAGTTCCGGTAATGTATTGTAGTGACTACAAGAATACTGAGTTATGAGCAGAACTGGGAGCATCGGTTAGGCTTCTAACCTGCGACTACTCTTTCCGGGGTCTTACGTGCTGTCCACCACACTGACCGACGTCCATGATTCGCCTTTCTTTCAACAAGTTTTGTAGTGATCAAAGTGAAAACTTGGATTCTCCAAAACCGACTTTCTGTTGACATCGGCATTGATCTATGAGTTAGTGTTTTCTTGATGAGTATACACGAAATCCCAATACCTATACCTTCACCACGATCCACCACCGTCCTGGTATCAAAGTAGCATGGTGGTAAATCTCCCTCTGATCCCCAAGGACTGCGACTGCCTGTGGTGGTGAAGGCCTGGGGCAGACTTTGGCCAGGTTGACCTCGAAATTCCAGGGAACCACATTTGCTTAACCAGCAAATCTCCGAAAAATGGAGATTATGCTGGGGCACGCACAACCAGTGAGGAGTGGCAGTCCAAGTCTCCAAGTGTCAAGTGTCTAAGACACGAAACTGCTAGCATAATAGCTATTTCACATTAGCCAATGTTTGAGCACTTGCTCCTTGAGAGCCTGGAAAAGTTTATTTGACAGGCAGTCTATTTGGCCAAATGCTTCTATAACCTCGGCAGAAAATTTTCAAAGACCTAGATTTCAATCGTCTTGAAAACAGCTTCTTTTGACCACTGACCATTCAATTCGTTATAAGTCTTCCATTTATTGTTGGAGCCCTAGTTTTTTTTAAGAGTTTGAATGGGTGGGGAATGTATTTCTCTGATGTTAACGCCTACACGACGACATAACCTCTAAAGGAGTCATTTTTTCGTTGGTTTATTCTGGCGCAGTGGACTGTTTCCATACATCTCTTGTAAACAATCGATTGCTCGTTCAACGTAAACGTCTCTGTAGTCGTCCGGCAGTGGGAAAGTCTATTTTGTACTTGGACTTATACAAGAAACCTTTTCTGGAACGAGTTCGTTGACCGGCCATTTTACTGGAAATTGGCTGATGATTCAGTTCTAATCGTTATAATGAGTCATAGTAGTCGTATGAAATGGATGGTACGAAAGGTCCGGAAGTAGACCCAACGTAAGTTGCAAAACACTTCATGATGTTGACATCAATGTATTTGCATGATGGACCATAGTACATGGTAAGTAGTATCGAAATCCCAGTATGTGGTGGTTGTGGGACCTCGTTTCTTGAACTTACTGGATTTTTTCCTTTCCGAAATGAAATCTTGCACGAAAGAGGCGATGTCTGATCCCGTGTAGAATTTTGGGACAACAGCGACATCGGTTAGGCAAAACCTTCGATTTACCATAATGTGGTCTATTTCATTATGGTAATCTCCACTGAAAGATTCTCATGTCCAGTGTTGAGGATGGGGCTTGTGGAATTGTGAGCTGCCGTGAATGGTTTTGGTCGCCATGATAAACTCAGATAGCCGTTCACCCTATTCGTTCCATTCTAATCCGTGGGTCCCAATGTGACGTTCTTCATACGTTCCCCTTGGTCCATCTTAGCGTTAAACTCTCCAATGGTAACCTCGAAGAATTTATGGTCTTGTTTGTAGAACTTCTTCGAGTCCATATAGAACGATTCGACTTTTTCTTCGTCATAGTTTGATGGCGACGCGTAAACGACGAGGATTATCAGAGCCGGTATTTATCCACATCTTTTTAATCGTAAACGTCTGATTCGGGTTGTTAGTTGTTCATATGAATTGATGTTCACGGACAAACTCATGTTGACGAGAAAGCCGACTCAGCCGATTCCTCTCCATATTGTCGCATGTTCCGAGAAACAGTCCTGCAGTGGCACAGACGGCGTTGAATGGGTGCTGTCTTCTCGTCTCGGCCTGTCCGATGACGTCCAACCTTATTCTTCTTACTTGCGTGATGAAGTCTTTTGTCGAGGACTCAGATTCAGTCGTGCGTGAATTGCAGGTGCAGATCGTCACCTTGGTTCCTTGCGATTTTAGCAGCCTCTCCGTACTCGTCCATCCTAACGCTGCCGCATCGGTGGCTCTTTCAAGGTCAGGAGAATGAGGCCCATTTATTTTACTGTGGTTAGCTTTTTGATACCCACGTATAGCTTGCTGAGCTCTGAACGTAGAGCTGGATGTACCACGGGTAGCTTGCCAGTCTCTACCAGAGTGGACATGGAGCTTATTTGTTGGAAGCGACTCGTAACACCCACCCCTATACAGTTCCTTTTCACTTGATTGCAGGCTTTTGGCCGAATTGACTCGTACACTACAATGGGCATAAGCGAGAACACGCTCACATGTATGAATCGTAAATGCAGAAAGTACTTGCCAAATCGGCGCAGCAGAAACAGCGAATTCATCACCTGGATCCACCTGCGTATCAGAGAAGCAAAGGTCGCTTTTGGTCCGCGATCAACCTCTTACCTCGCCACTTGGGATGGGCCATGTAGCCTCGCGACTAATCGGCTCGAAATCGCTCATATGAAGGAGTTCTGTGGGAGCATCTATCAGTGATATATAAATAATTTAGGACTATTGATAAAGCTGCTTGACAATAGTTATGAACTTATTAGGCAACATAGTTGTTTGCTCTGGACAACACGTGCATCTTCGTCGGGTCATCTCGGTTGCTGTTCCTGTCCATCTGTCGTCAAGTCATTATTATTTTACCAGATTTAGATTTCGTTCCGAAATGTATTTTGTCGGGATTTTGAAAATGTGATACCTTTCAAAGGAGCCAGATTGCACAATCGAATATGACAGTGCGTGTTGCGGATAGATTTCAAAAGCCGTTGGATATCTGTGTACAGGATGCTGTTCATGAATTAAGTATTAATCGATATCTCCGCTGCATTTCAGAAATAATAGTAAGGGTTATCGTACGAATCTAGTGAATGCAGAGCTCTAGATTTGGAAGCTGGTCGGTTGTCAGTTTCTTTGGGAGGCCTGAAGATGGGCAATAGTGCTCTCTGCTTTCTACAAAATTCCTTTCTTGTTCTCTTCGATGTCTACTAAGACCTTTTTCACACTTTCTGATTTGTTATGAAGAAACATATCAACCATTAGTTTCTTTCTGGCGCAATCGTTCAAGGTGCTGGTCTGTCTCGAGCACAGTAGGATTCGCCAAGCAATCCGTGCGCCACACTTCGTTCCTATCTACGAGTGCAGATCCTAGCCACGAACAGGAGGACGCTTGGATTCTGTCGTAGTCCACTCCACTGTCGTTTTTTTACATCTGTGATCTGTTCCTATTATTATACATGGCCGTCCTAACTGTTCTTCGCTATCCATGTAGATTCTTCAATATCTTGTTAATGGAATGCATTTTGAAGGTATGATCCCGGCTAGACATTGTTTGTAAGCGTCGCTTAAATTTCAGAAGACATCGTTCAAGTGCTGTGTAGGTAGCGCGCAGGGTTCTTGATGTGGGTGAGGAGCTATCAGACCATATCTGTGCTGCATAACAGCGCATGGAGGATCGTTGAGTGGATTGGGTGAACTTGTTGTTTTGGATCCGTTCCTTGGTTGGCGGTTTTTTAAGAGGCCTGAACACAGCCTATGTAACTCTCCTTTTGTAGAATTCCTACAAAGAGAGACGATTAGATAAGGCCAACTGAAATGCGACGCGTAAGAAGCTGCATATTTTGAAGAGATGGAAAAATCCATAGATCTGTATCCTCAGATGGGAATTAGCTAGATTTCCGCGGTCAGCTAGAACTGAAGTGCAAATTACAGCTATGGAGACAGTCCTGCTGGGTCCTATTGAAAGTTATGAAGCCAGGAAGCCCTATGAAAGTTACGAGGCTGCTGGCCACGCTCCTCCTTAGCGGTGAATTCAACTCAGAATGAGTCCACTTACTGGCCTTGTCAGCAGGAACTGCAGCACAATATGCAGGCCTGAAAGTCCGACGAATCAATCGTAGTGTTTAGAGGCAGAGTCATCTTCCATCAGTAGCTGTCGCAGTGTGATAGTTATTTTAGAGTTTTATTTTATTATTTATTTTACACGACCCACCTTTCACACCTACTGTGCTAATCCCGGCACTTCCTGTGTTTGATTCATTTTCTCGCATTCATCATCCACCAAGGTCTTCGGACTCTCGCGTGTAGTTTCGGCCTTTGACTGAAGATTACCGCCTTCTTTATGGACATCGTTGAATGATAGTCGCATCGAATCACCCTGGAATCCTGACATAAAAAAGCTAGAGCGTTCACATTTGCACTGCAGGGTGAACTTTTCCCAGACAAGCTTGGTACTAATTTCGGATTATCCTGGAGGGATGAGAGCCAGTGAACCAATTGCGGGGTCGGGCCACCACCATGCTCGTGGTGATCGACATCACTACCACTGCATTATTTGCCCACTGTCACCTTAGAATATCGAAGAAAACGTGGCGTGGAAAATTTGAATAAGTAGGTTTATTGAACGTTGTTTAGAGCAGCACCAAATTGACGAAGTTTCAGTAAGCACATGTCTCGATTATTGTGGGCTTTAGCTCGACATATTGTCCTAATGACAGTCTATATCCTTATACGTAGAAATCTAAGCTCCAATTGAAAAAAAAGTGAAATCACAGCGCAAGAAATACTCCAAAGGCAACAACGATGAACAGGAAATGATGAAATCGTTGCTCGAAGCTATTAGTCCTTGCTGGTGCTGCATCGGCTTTATATCAACCGAATGTTCCCAATCACTTAAAGAATTGGTGCCGCGAAAACAAGTGATTGTCTTTCCTGGAAAAACGATCTACGACATTTATCATTTCCTCAAAGACAAAGCTATAGGTAACATCACCAAGTGAACGCGAGCGACTACACAAACTATGCTTTGTATTAGAAGATAGGTGTGCAGTAATGGGCATTGAAATCCGACTGCTCCGCACTTCTCTACACTGCGAGCAAAACATGCCCATAGCATGTCACATTTGAGGATCATATTCAAAGGAGGATAGTGGTCTCTAGAGCGGAATAAATTCGCGGATTTGTGGAAACGTTAGCCATCGTAAAATAAATATTATAAATTCCAAAAATTTTAGAAATTACTCACTTGGTACTTGAACGGCCCGTCCTTACTGGTTGTGCGGGGTCCCAGCATAATCTCCATTTTTCGGAGATTTACTGGTTAAGCCATTGTGGTTATCTGGAGTCCCGAGGTTAACTTAGCCAAAGTCTGCCCCAGGTCTTCACCACCACAGGCACTCTCAACACTTATGGATCAGAGGGAGATTCGCCATCAAGCGACTTTGATACCAGGACGGTGGTGGATCCTGGTATTGGTTTATTCTTAACTAGGCTTCCTGATGGAAACGCCAGACTCCTTTTCAGCTTGGGAGGCCCTGCCAAGGGGTGAATCCCCTGCTGTACATCGCAACCTAACAGCCAGGAATACCTCCCAGCCACGATGAGGCGGTAAACCGTTGGAAGGTAAAAGATAATTACCGTAGGCGGTAAATTAAAGCTCAACAATGTGGAGACGGTATTTTTTCTTTGTTTACGGTGAGTGTTGAAGGAAGCTGTTTATCATACGACTAAGGCTTAGGTGGCGAATTAAATTGTGTGCCAATTTGGCCTTTCGATTGAAGAAGCGGACATCGCCGAAACGTCGGCAAATGCTAGTTACTTGGATGGCTCTTCTTCACTGGTTGTGCGGGTCCCAGCACAATTTCCATTCTCCGGACATTTGCTGATTTAACCACGGCTTCCCTAGAGACCCTAGGTCAGCGCAGACGAAGTCTTCTTCAGGTTGTTACCACCCAGAACGTTGCAGCCTCTGTGGATCAGAAGTAGATTTGTAACCAGTCACCAGTTTGATACCAGAGCGGTAGTGATTATTGACATTGGTTCACTCTTAGCTAGGCTTCCGGAAGAAAACTTTGGCTCACCTTGGGAGGCCCTATCGGGGGATGAACCTCCATTATACATCTCAGCTCGGCACCCAAGAACACCACCCAACCACGATGAGGTGGTAAACCATTGAATGTTTGTTGAATAAATTTTGTACAACAACTTTGTGTCTACTCAGGAAGAAAATACTAGTTCACTGAATTCCATCTCTATTTGCGGAGTGTCACAAGTTCCTTCACGGCTTTTTTCTTTAGTGTTCACTAGAACTAATTAATACGTATGTTCACCAAATCTTAACGAATACGAACATTTTATGTACCGCACCCTCCCAATAAGAAATAGCACTTTGGGGTCCTTGACGTACGATAAATTCTCTGAGATCTTAACGAGTACAAAATGAACACCACACTCAGTTAACTGATATCAATAATACATGATCATAACGAGCACCTCTGAGCTTAACAGAACTTTCTGGGACCTATACTATGCAAAAACAGATCATCGACCTATTAGTCTGCCTGAATATTACGATACGTAAAAATGTACTACGTACCTTGCAATCAAGTGAGGATGGATAGGTGTGAAGACGCATTGTTTTTCTAGGTGACAAAAACTGGTTGCCATTAGGCCACGTCCGTCCCTATGTTACCTGATTAAAGGGTCCCAAGTTTGACCAAGTACCATCAGAAATCTGCTGAAGAACGGTGGCATTCCAAAGCAGGACCTATGACGAAGGCCCTATTTAAAGACCCAGTCTGTTATATCCCATGAGATTTTCACTTTTTATTATTCATTTAAGAAACTATATACAACAACAACCCGAAATATAGATAAACAATTTTCAAATAATTCCAAATTACAAAACTAAGATCAGAAGTTATTTCGAGGTAAATTTTTGTTCCATATATCCATGGGAACGTTGAAGAGATTTCTTCTTACTTTGCAAACGTTGTTCAACTGTGAGATCAGCTGCAGCAGTGTTGATCTGACTTCTGAAAGCGGAACACCGGTGTTGATATTTTACTCATTAACATTAATTTCGAAATTAACAACAGAATTGTTTCTTAGGACCACGGAATGCATCGTAATTATAAATTTTAATACGTGAGGGTGTGTAGAACACGGAGCAGACATAGGGTAGTAATGCAGAATTTTTTTCAAAACTCAAAAAAACCCCGATTTATAGAACGGAATTCACAAAAGGGCCGGGGCTACATAAAAACTGCTGGAGTGGACGGCGTGACACCCACAGGTGTCACAGTGAGCAGGGGAAAAAACGCACTGCCCATTCCGCAAAAAGCGAAATTAGGCGTCGCCGCGAAACCGTTATTGGAGGTATGGGGCCAAGAAGAAGTTAATGAACGCATAACGCAATGTTAGTTAGCAAAATTTCGTCATAGCGAATTCGACTTTGATGATGACGAAGGTCACAGAGAACTTTCTGCTATTGACAACCGTGAGTAGAAGCACTTGATATAAGCCACACACATGATTCACATTCGTTTGCACTAATTTGACTAATATGTGAAGATTTTAATTGTTTTAAATACGATCAATAAAACCGCACTAAGCTAAAAGAAATCCTGGATAGTCTAACAATAATAAAACTGAAACAAACCTCAGAAAACTAGGGGCTTTACCACTCAAGTCCTCCGCAGCCTCCTCATCTTCTTTCATAGAAGCAACCTTGATGTTTGACTTACGAATTTCTTGTCGCCATTCTGCATTTTTGGCCATCTCTTTCAACCTTTTTTGTCTCTCTTCTTCTGTGAGTGGTCCACGAGATTCCGGCTTCTGCAGCATTACAACTAAGCCGTTCCAAAAAATCGCAAGAAGGATGAGAGAAAATAAGAAAACAAGAAGGAGAAAATAGACTCCAGTGAGCGTTATTATGTAACGGGCAGAATATAACTCCCTTATTTATTCCTATTTTTCTTTACAATATAGTTATTTTCATGTCATTCTCCACTTTGATAAGAGATGAACAATGAATCCCTGTATTCTTGATGATAGTTATTCGGTCATAAACATACTTATCTAATACTTTAATGGGCTACTCTCACTGGTCGTGTGGGCCTCAGCATAGTTCCTAATTCTTTCGAAGTTCTGTTCGTTTAGCCATCGTGGTTCCCTGTTTCCTGGAGTCCTGAGGTCAGACATGCCAAGGTCTGCTCCAGATCTTCACCACAAGAGGCAGGCGCCGCGCTCGTTGATCAGAGGGGGATTTGTCATCATGAGACTTTGATACCATGGCGATGTTGGATGCTGATATTGGTTTACTCTCAGCTAGGTTTCCTGATGGAAACGGCGGACACCTCAGCTTGCGAGGCCCTGGTGAGGGGATGAATCCCCTCGCTGTATATCGCAGCCCGAAACCCAGGAACACCTCCCAACCACGTCGAGACAGTAAACCGTTAATTCAAGCCAATCCCTTAAAACATGGCTACTTCAGGATTTACAAAAAAGAACCTATTCCCCAAAGGTTTTGGCATTCCTCCTTCTGACTGCCACGTCCAAAACGTAAGGAATATAACTTCCGAACGAATTACGAAATTTTCCACAGTAAGAATATAAGCTTCTTTTTTTAGCTTCCCCTCGCCCAGAATTTTCACATTAATGCAAAAATGAAAGTAATACCTTGTACACAGGGGGAACTGGTCTCCTTGATAATTCGTAGGGATTCTCGGTTGTATTAGGAAGCTCATCTTTCTTTTTCGCCTGAAATCATATTCATCGATATAGGTGATAATTCTCAAAAGTGTATCCTAAAATTTTACACACCCCAACAAGACCAAATCCAGTAAAGCGCTCTTTGTGCTTACTTTCCTCTTGATCAGAATTATCACCTTCATAGTCGCTGGAATTCGTTGCGAGACCCTGGGAAATAACAACGTATATGATTGATAAGTCACACTAAAACAACGATGAGTAATTAACTTCTCCTTCATAACAGCACAATTTTTCAGTGAATTTAAATTTATCATCTGTAATCCCGTTTAATCTTCGAAGTCAGATACGAGTAAATTTTCCATTCTGATACGTTCCAACGCCGCAGACTGGACTCCACTAGCTCAAACACGAATAAATATCACCGTAAAATAATATTATGTGAAGTATTTATACTTTGCTTTTTTGAAAAGAGTACCCATACGTCTAGGGGTTAGACTAGGCCAGAGCAGATTTACTTCCTATTGGTTAAAGACAACTCTGAACCTCCTTGTATTTATTTCCCGATTACTTGCAGGATTTTTACAACAACGCTGGGGATACAAATCTATTCAGGCACATTTATGGAAGTGAGCACGAATCTGATTATGAAGACAGAGACCGTAGCCATCAATGTGCTGCATTAAAGGAAAGGCAATCTCCAAATTCACTTGCGTTTCAGGACAAGTGCAATGAAGCTTTTGATCCGCTTATCAGACAATTGAGGACGGAGCCTCCGAACCAACAGGGTAGAGGTAGCTCACATGAGTATAAAACCCGTGGCCTTGTTGAATTAACAAAATTACGTAATAGAGACCGCTGCTAACAGAACTAGAGGCAATTTCTGAAAATATAAACGTTTCAACCTGATGAGTGGGTCATAACCGGTGAACTACGAAAAGTACACATTTTCTGCTTTAAAATTTTTCAGATTCCGAGCTTGTACAAAGAATGAACAAAGTGCACATTTAGTAACTAGAGATTCATAACTGCATCATAACGAGTACGTGTTCAACGTGCAAGGAATAGCTGTAAACTGCTATCCACAATACAATAACTTTCTCTATATTTAAGACAAACAAAATTGCCAACTCAAAGGCATGGTAATGAGACTGGTCAGAACATTTATCACCTATATAAATGACGAACAGTTGAGCACCTGGATAAATCCAATCAACTACTTAGCATAGCTAATCCAAGAGGGCAACGCAGTGATAGGAATGCCGTTCCGTAATATGCGCAAAGCTATGATTCAAGAAATAGGCAGTAGACTTGTCTAGGAGGAGAGCAGCACTGGTTCGATATATCGGCAGACCACCGCTCGTGAAATCGGTGTCGGAATGCACCTACTCTGCTATCCCAAGATTCCAGGGAGAACCGCTTGGGACAACGTTCAACAACATACATAAAGATGACCAAAAATCCTCAAACAGCAGATGAACCTGTACACAAATCTGAAGATCTTCGTGAATATGAAAAAATGAATCGAATGCGGGAAAAGCTGGCACTACCACAACATGTGAAGTAGGTTCATGTATAGAGAATCGAAAGATGATGATTTGAAGGCGAATTAATGGTATAATCCTTTTCCAAAGTTAGATGATTCATTTATTTCTTGCTACTACTACAAAACGTTTGTACAAACCTTATTTTCGCTGTGCGATTTATGCGATTTACAAATTTGCAAACAACGATATCGTCATTCAGCATGTCAAAAACGTATCATCGTTGAGCACGAAAACTGCTCGCAACCATACAGCACTTACCAAAAATTGTAGTTTTAACGCACTCATTTTTCAAATTCGCCCTAGTTAATTTGTCCAGATTTACAAAAACAAAGGGCATTTGCCACTAGCTTAAAAAAGAGTACCTTAGGTCTCAAGTGGTCAGGTATGTGGGAATCGTATAGCTTCAAAGATTCGAACTCTTTAGTGTCTTCACATGATGAGCTGCTAAAATATGTGTGCATTCAATCAGGTAAGTTTTATCGGTACATGTGCATATTTCCTCGTCAAAGATAACTTATACTTATAAATGGAATAGGACTCACTTCTTTCTCAAGCGACATTTATCAAAATCACATTCTTTATTGTTATCGAAGTCCTTCGAATCTAAATCACAGTTTTGGTCAGTTTCCTTCATGAGATCTAACTGATCCTTTTGCATCTTTTTCAGAAATTCAGAACGTGAACGAGACGTTGATGCCGACGGGCTACAGCTTCTGGACAAAGAGTGTTCTTTTATATCCAAAGAAGACCGAGATCGTCGAGAAGGGCCCATTGACGAATTAGTACTCCCTTGCATTGATGAATTTGAGTTGTTTTGCTCTGGTGAGCTAGATCTCTTCCTCTTACAATAAGCCCTCCTCGATTCTCGTAGCGATGTTCTTCGCATCTGCGAATTTCGCCTCCGTCTACTGTTTGTTGACGAATTCGATTTATCACTACACTCTCTTTGACACTTCAACAACATATTGTGGTTTGAGGGCGATTTCCACTTACCATGTTTTTTCACTTCGCTGGGCGACTCACGTCGTACAGAAGCACTCTCTCTACTGGATGATGATTTTCGTCTGCTTCGTTTTCGTTCTTCGCTGCGTGATGGACGTCGTACAGAAGAACTCTCTCTACTAGATGACGATTTCCGTTTACTATGCTTCTGCATTTCGCCTTGCGATTGACGTTGCACATAAGAACTCTCCCTGCTGGATGATGATTTCCTTCGCCGCCGCTTCTCACTATTTGTGTGCACCTTCATCCTTTTTCTGCTCTGTGAACTTGAAGGTGATCGAGAACTGTCATAACGAGATTTCCTTTTTGCCCATATCGTAGGTGAACGAGATATTCTTTTAAGTCTTTCAGCTTCTTCAAAAACCCATTTAGGCTTCAACTCATGAGAGTGCTTAGAACCTTTCTCGAACTCTGCACTGGAGTCATGGCGCTCACTCTGAAACAACGTAAGTTGTCCATTATCTAACATATTTTACTAAATGCACAGAACGATTTCACATTCCTTTCACGGGAACACTGCGGTGGTCACAATTTCGTCTTAATTTATATTTAAGAGAGGCATATATACCTGTGCGAAAGACTTCGTTTTCCGCGAAGTGTGCGTCGAGTAGTCCTCTTCTGAAAACTCGCGAGATTTCTTCCTTTTCCTTTCTTTCTAAAGATGTAAAGGGATTAATTAGCAATTTCCTAACAAAGAGTTATTATTACTACTATACAAAATGACTACATTCGTGTGAAATTTTGGGACGCAAATCGGCACTTTGTTATTCTGATTTCAACATTTACCTTATAAATAGGCGTTTCCAAAACATTCATCGAACACTGGTTTGAAGACTAACGAAACGCATCAAAGTATTATATGGGAGGACGCAGTGATTCGTGACTACATTTATACTCATACCCCCATTATTAGGACGACTCTGGTGCTTGTACGGTGCATAGAGAAAACTACAGAACCTCGACAGGTAATTTTGAAGACTTTAAATTTCGCCATTTTAATAAAAAAAAACTGCTTATTATCCATCATTTTTCTTCCCCAGTTTATAGCTTCTCCCAACGGTTTACAGTCTCACCATGGCTGGGAGGTGTTCTTGGGTGCCTGGCAGTGATGGACAGTGGGAGGTTCATCCTCACAACATGACCTGCCAAGCTGAGAAGGAGTCCGGTGTTTTCATCAGGAAGTCGAGCTAAGAGTAAACCAATACCAGGATCCAGCATCGCGTCCTGATATCGAAGTCGCACGATGGCAAATCTCCCTCTGATCCACAAGCGCTGCGACTGCCTGTGGTGGTGAAGAGCTGAGGCAGACTTTGGCTAAGTTAACCTCGGGATTTCAGAGAACCACAATGGCCTAACCAACAAATCTCCGAAAAGTGGAGATTATGCTGGGATCCGCACAACCAGTGCGGACGGGCCGTTCAAGTAAGTATCAAGTATCAAGTTTATAGCTAGCTCATAATGAACATGTCGTTTCTAACAGAATCATGAGAAACACACTATGAGAAGATAAAGGATCCCTACTTTTGTTTAACCATGGAAATGCTGTCCATGAATAACACTGAGATCTATGATGGTAATGTTATTTGTGTACAAAGGATGGTGTTACTTCTGAGCACATAGATGTGAAAGCATTTACGCATCCTAAACTACCGGGAAATAACTCCCGATCTAAGCACGCGCTTATAACTCTTGGAAAGATTTAAGCGACTTATTCCAAGCTCTGTTTGTAGGAAAAACTGTAAATACTTAAAATATCAATGAGTAAAGAACACGACACCCTTCAGGCAAATAATGTATTCTACGGCAATTAGCACTAGCATAACTCTACTGGAGTACAATCGTGCTAGAGTTATGACATTACGGAAAGGACGATGTCGCTTTATGTGCTAAAGACGCTAAAAACATTGACGACAGGAATATCACAAGGAGAAAATAGTAAGACTTTATGAATGGTTGAATATTTAGAGTTTTGACTCTATACTTTAGAACAAAATAAAAATATAACGTTTCAGTTTTATACATCTCAATACATCGTTGAAAAGTTAAATAGAAAAAAAGTATACTTTGTAAGAGTAAGAGTAAATCATGAGAACATCAGGATGAATTGCAAGAAGCAATTGGAAAAGTGCAACAGTTAAGTCATGCAGTTTTACAGTCGCCCATCATTAGTTCTTCTCTGCGTCATGGAAGACAAAAGAGCTCTAGGCAGTATTAAAGATATTCTTCAAACAACTTTAAACTCCAAACTAAAGTCTTATGCACATCTTTGCAACAGGGTGATGGAATGCGGTAAATCAGCTAGATTTAACTGCAAAAACTTAAAATTCGTCCAGCTATCAACCATATAATGAACCGAATGCTTAGGCTAGAGCGTTTATGGACCCATGATTTCTATTTTCAGCAATGTGAACTAATGAGACGATTGTTTCCAGCAGAGCACGTAACCACACCCTAGGGAAGCACAAACAACGTAGAAGGATACGAGAAACGGCAATGAGAATGCTTACCTCTGACCCATCAACGATTCTATTCAGTACTCCACCTTGCTAACCCTACTGAAAACACCTCCTCTAGATCTCATTAAAAAACACTTGAAAAGGAAAGTGCTACCACTCAGTCAAGTGCATAACTACCGAATAAATAAAAAGTGACCTTGACCGGGCACAGATCTTTTCCATCAACAGCACTCCTCTCCTTTTTGTCCTTCTTCTTCTTCTTCTTCTTCTTCTTCTTCTTCTTCTTCTTTTCTCCTTTACCCTCCCTTTCAGCCATCATCTCCTTCAGCATTTTTTGAAACTTAAGTTTCATCAAAGGATTCTCTAGCAGTTCACGGCGACGAGTTTCTTCTTTCACCTAGAACGAAATTATTATTAAACTTCATGTAGCAATTCCCAATGCCGACTTTCTACTAACTTTGGCTTTGATTGATAATTCACTTTTCTATTCAATGATCAAACACTACGTTGGTAGTACAGTATGTATTTATTAGCACACAACAGCCGACGTTTCGGCGGTTTCGCCTTCTTCAGAGGCTGGAAAGGTCAAATTGACATGCAATCTACCTAGCCAAACACTTTCATAACTTTAGCAGATGAGACCTAACGCGAAAATTTGTACCTCCTAAGGTTACGAAGGTCAGCTATTATGTGCCAGTAAATTCTACAACATCAACCTCATATTTGCTCTTTGAACAAAAATGGTGAATTATAACTAAACTCTTGAATCAAAACCCTTCTAGAATATGAATGAAGAAACTAGCCTTCACGGCTACCAGTGGATCTTCCGTCGCAACAACGTAAGTCTCTAGAGCACTGGTTTTGACTGCAGATGGTTGAGGTGTGGTGACAGTACTAGAAATAACAGCTAATACATGAAATCAACTGTTTATCAAATCGGTGGGAAACACAGTATTTTGTGTAAACACACCGAGTATGTATGACCGCATCGAAGGCTTCCGGTTTCTGCTCATTCACTACATCAGAGTACTTCTCAAAATCTTTTCCAATCTGAAACATGTGTTTACAAACTGAAAACAGTAACAACCAGAAACAACAGACCTTCTTCCCTAAAAGATAATCTTCCCGATTTATAAGTGACTTTGCTCCTTCATACATCCAACCAAGGCCCTTATTTTCGCTCATGATCAGAATCCTCTGGAATACCACACATGCAGGAGAAACCAATACATTAATGAATTAACACTAACAACGCGAAGTCTAGCAAGCGAAAAAACGGAAGCGTGAAAATATTGTAACGATCCATCTCAACTAGCAAGCATGAATATGCCAGAATAACTTTGACATCCATAAAGTTTAGCGGAATTGTTGCTATTACCGCGAATATGATCATCCCCAATGTCACACGGAGATATTCAACTTTCTCAACTACAACGCCATAAGAATCACATCGTACAGCTAATCCCTGTACAATTTTTAAATTGGATGTCACTGAAACGAGCAAATTCCGTATAACATCACTCCAAAGCGTGTGTAGTGCAGTAATCGGAGGCGCCTTGCAATACACAAGAGATCGATCCCTGCGCACCAGGCTCACCAAGTCCTCATTCCTCCAGGGTCAGCAAATGGGCACCAGACTTGTCTGGGAGGATAGCAGCACTGGCTCGATATATCGGTACGCTACCGTGAGTCATTGGGTATGCCAGATATGCATTCAATCACCTCTAACGATGACTAATGAAGTCGGATGCATGATGCATTCCTCAGAAATTGATCAACCCCGAGAGCCTTATCGTTCATTCTTTTAACTCCATTCCAGCGTTGAAGGAACACATACGAACAGGAAACACAATTTTGCACAAAAGTACCGCCTTTGGCCACCAACTTAGATGCATGGATATTTGGATGGTCCGCCCCCACTGGTTGTGCGGGCCCCAGCGAAATTTTCACTTTTTCGGAGTTTAACCATCGTGGCTCCCTGGAGTCCTGAGGTCAGCCTACCCAAAGTCTGTCCCAGGTCGTCACCACCAGACGCAGTCGCGGCCCTTTTTAATTACAAGGGAATTTGCCACACTGCGACTAGTTTGATAGCAAGACGGTGGTGGATCCTGGCCTAAGACAGGGTTCCTGATGGAAACATCGGACACCTGAGAATGGGAGGGCTTGTTGGAGAGGTCAATCCCACTGCTGTACATCCCAGTCCGACACTCAGGAGCACCTCCCAACGACAATGTGGCGGTCAATCGTTAGAAAGACGAGCACCAACACTGGATAATTAGTCTTTCCAATAACACTCGTATAAACTGACTATAAACGCTTTATGTGATGACCATTAAACATAATACTGTAAAAAAAACAACCACATGCATTACGCTGTCGATACGATGCCTTCTAAAAACGCTGACTGGGATGGTCAGTGTTTTCCCTTGTCTTACTCTAATTAGCAGGTTCCGATTTGAAGTTCTTCGAGGTCCTTTACCACTTAGATAAATGCAGCAATGGGGCTTTGTCTCTTTTATACTTCTGTACAATTCTGAATTCTCAATCCACCAAGTCTTTTGGTTATCTAAAAACCAGCAGGTTTATAAGGACAGAAAGCTAGGAGCCATCACGCAAGTGTTAAACGATCTCGTTGGATCTTCAGTACTTGTTTTTTCAAGAGCATTGACCGTTCCGAATAAATTTTCCAGTCGTAAAATGGATCGTGCTTCAAGGTCCTATTCATGCTACTACAGGCTCGAAGCACAGTTAATAAAAGAAAAACACATGAGCTCTTCTATATGAACGAAAAACGTCTGGCTACGACTTAACCCTTTCGACTTCAGCCACTTAACACTCACCACCCTTTTGTCTTTCACATGTTCCCCAAGAACTTACTGTCTTCACAGGTGCTTCTCAATGTCATGCAAGCTTTTGCATGAGTCCACTCATAAGTATATAACCGTCAAACAAAAATACAGGAATAAACGCAAATACACACTAGTTCAAAGCATCGAAATCACAGGAATACCAGTTCTTTCAAACAAAGGAAAGTAATGGATTCAACTGAACAGCTGTCGTAGGTAAACAATGGTTTGTGGAACCTTGAGTGGTAGAGCGGCAGCTGTTTTCCTTTAATATAAGATGGGCTTGGGGGACATGTGGCACAGTGGTCGGAAGCGCCTTGCAACACATGTGGAATCGATCTCCGAGCCCATGGTCAACCAAGCTTTCTATCCTTCCGGAGTCAGTAAATAGGTACCAGACTTGTCTGGGAGTATAGCAGCACTGGCTCGATACATCGGTCTGCAGGCCACCGCGAGTTATTGTAAAGGCCAGATATGCATTCAATCACCTCCAAACGATGCTTAACGAAGTCGAATGCATGGCGAATCCCTCAGGGATTGATCACCGCCGAGAGCTTTATCGTTTAACCTTTTAGGTGGACTGAAAGCTTTCGCACGCACAGGAATATAAACGGATATACATAAGTATAAATATATACGAAATATGTAATAGATAAAAGTGAAATAAACCGTCGTAATACTTAATACTTAAGACAGAGAGTAGACTACGAGACGAAGCATTCCTGCTTAGTTAAATGATGTAGGAATCAAGGCTTAAATACTTTAAAAATAACAACGATAAAAGTAGGACTACCACTGCCACCAAATCTGGTGTAAAGTAGATCCCCAAGGTAGGAACAATCATGACTGACGAAGAATAACGGCTTTAACAACGAAGCCTATTACTCCAGTAAATCGAAATAAACTGTGAAATCTAACGGAAACAAGAGAAACAGTGCTTTGACCACATTACGAACGGTTTATAAACTGAGAATACCTAAGAATAAAACGATAATAAGAAAAATAAGAGAATGATACTAGATTGAGACATACGTGCGCTCGAACATTGTCCAACGACACTCCCAGCGACTATATAGGCATCACGTTTGTTCTGCGGATCGTCGTCAGCCACGTATGGACTCTGGTTCACATTGGTTTTGTACGTAACGGTGGGAAGTCTTTCCCTTCTGGTTTATATTGAGATTTAAGAGTCTTTACTTGTTTATAAGTTCCGTATAAGTGGTGGACCTTGCGTGTTTGGTGGTTATCTCTTGACTGTAAAATTATAAATGATGCTTAAAAAATCCTGTTTCAATGGAGTTGAAGAAATTCGCCGTTATTTTTTCAATCTTCTAGAAGCCTCTCATGCAATTTATTCTGTTGTTGTCCTTTCTGAAACATGTGTTTAAATTGTCAAGCTTACACGAGGTTGATGAAGGTTTTTATTCGGCAGACGTTTCGACGTCTTTATCTTCATCAGAGCCGATGATCCGAGTCGGTGGTCCATAGTTGTTCGTTTTCCTTTTTGCAAGGGTTTTTTCCAGTCTAAAAGCTGAGGTATTGCATGGCCAGTTATGTACACACTACCAAGCCATTTTGGAAAGCAATTTAGCGGTATTTCATGTGTTACAACTCGACCTACTATTTTTCCTACGTGTTTTGTCCTGAGGAAAAATCGGATGGAAATTGCTGAAATTTTTGACCGTAGCAAGTCTCAGCACTTTGTTGTGTGAAAAATTTAGTCATAATCAACTCAGTTACTTAGCTTACATGGTTTGTGGAACCAATTCTTATTCTAAACTCCTTTAGCTGCTAACTAAGAGACTTCAAAGTTCCTCCGTATAGAGTAATGTTTGAGACTTTGCATTAAGGGCTTGTCTCAAAGCACACACCTTAACCGGTTAACGAGTAGCATAATGTATTGGCTTACTTAATTGAATGGCCCGTCTTCAATGGTTGTGCGGGCCCCGGCATAATCTCCATTTTTCGGAGATTTACTGGTTTAGCCATTGTGGTTCTGTGGAGTCCTGAGGTCAGCCAGGCCAAAGTCTGCCCCAGGTCGGTCGTCACCACCACAGATAGTCGCCGCCCTTGTGGATTAGAGGGAGATTTGCTATCATGCGACTAGTTTGGTATGAGGACGGTGACGGATCCATTGGTATTGGTTTACTCTTTGCTGGGCTTCCTGGTGGAAACGCCGGACTTCTTCCATACTTGGGAGACCCTACTGGTGGGATGAATCCCACCGCTGCACATCGCAGCCCGACACCCAGAAACACCTCCCAGCCACGATGAGTCGGTAACCGTTCGGAGGAATATATTGGCTGGTAAACATAAATGCGAACTCATGAGACCTTGAGTTTTCCAGTAGGGTTGTGAGGGTGAGAGTTGAAATATTTCATTGCGTGATTCATTTCTCCAGGATGATATTTCCTTTTGAAAACACTTTTGTTTAGCACTGTTACGGTCGTAGCTATTTCCCCCTATGAAGGTATGTTTTGGTGGTTTTGGTTGGTTGCTGACAATATTCACTTTGACAGAGTTTAATATGTAACCCAGATTAATTATGCAATGTACGTTGTCGTATTTGTCTCATTTTTTGTCGCAGTTATTTTTTAAGGTTCTGTCTCTTTTAGGCATGTGGCTGAAGGTTGCTGTCTTTACGTCAGCCGTTGCTTTTGCGGTTGCCGGTGAGATAAGAAACAGTGAACAATTACAGCAAGTTGTACATACTCCCGTTGAACACCATCGTGGCAAACTACTTCTGAATCCACAGGACCCCATTACTCGGAAATCAGTTGTGAGTTTCCATCGCTAAATGTTTTCAAGTGTGAGAAATTTGCACGGCTCAATCAAACCTACTCCCATTGTTAGCTCCTAGGAATGCTCGGTACTTAATGGAAATTGGATATGTTTTAATTTTCACCTCAACATTTTAACATTGTCCGAGCATTGTTATTTTAACCCGACATCAAATCTTTCGGGCGTCCCAACAGTTTTTTCCTTCGTTTCATTTCCTCGCATCCATCGTCTATGAATATCTTCGGATTTATTTATGGCATCCGCTGGTGCTTGAGGATTGTAGTCTGCTTTATGAAACCATTGCATGCTGGTGTAGCAGGTTCTGTCGAAAGTCCTGGGATAGCCATTTAAGCCATTTAAAGCGTTTCTAGCTCTTCACCATTGGCAGGAACTAACCAACCTTTGCGAATTTGACGGCGGTTCTGAGACAGATATGGAACTAATTTCTTGACTCCGAAGAAATAGGGTTTGTTAGCGTGAAGACGGAAGGACATCCTTGGGCGTATTCTTGACCCGTACCTCTACTATTGCGTTACCCGCGTCACCATCGAGCCGTGAACAACGTTGCAAATGGTTCTGTAGTAATCTCAACAAGTGGTTCTTTGAAATCGCGAGATCAAACGAAAACGTCGTGTTTGTAAGACCAATAGAGTCGTCTATGAGTATAGAAACAGGGACCTGTCATGATAGAGCACAGTCCTGGTTTCTTTCCAATAGCTCCATTCGACTTTACCATTCTGACGGACCATTTCTTTAACTTAGTGGTGTGATTTGTGCAGCAGATTTTATGGTGTATAAATACCTTGTAATAATTACACATCACTACACCATCATGTCGACTTGAAACCCAATTTCGTAAGTAGGTTTTGTAGCTTCACCCACTTAATCCTAGAACCGTTTCTTCGTAAATTTAGTGTGTCATCCTTGTTGATCATTCGTTTTCAAAAGGATCTTCATCTTTCGGCTGTATTATGATGCACAGTTAAGGTTTTTCTCTCTCTTTTTATTTTGTTTATAGTGGCTTGCATAGCCTGAGTCGTTGAGATGAGCGTATTGATCGAAACATTTAATATTCCTCATCATCCTCATTTGATCCTCACATACATTAAGAATAGCTCGTCGTAGCAAATCCAATTCCTGAGGATTTCACAAACCCTTCCAAACAATATCATCAGAAACACAAGCTTTTCTAGGTACTGCAGTAATATTACGAGTTGCATGAGGTACATTTCTTTCATTTTTAAAAGAATGTTGCAATGAGGTGCTGGTTTTATGGTTTATTATTACCAATCTTTAAGCAAGGTGCTTCTTATAATATCAGTGAGATTGGTCTCGTATGTAGAGAAATAAGATGTTTTTCTTATGGAAGTGAAGTTAACAACTTCAGGAAATTAAAATTCATGTCGTATTGCTCGTGAATATTAAAAATTCGGAGGACATTTTGGAAACGGTGTTTTACACAGATTTGGAATTTCGTAAAAGAAATGTGAGAAAGGAGTAGAAGCTGGTTTTTGTGATTATTATAATAGGTTAAACGTTGAACCTGTGGAGTTTTTGTGAATAAATTCAAATCGCGAGTGGTTCATAAGCGTTTCCATACCAAGGGGGTTAAGTTTACGAGGTTTGTTTTCATATTATCTTTTGTTTCCTTTTTCCAGTGGTTTTCAATTTTTTTTTCAGGTTGACATTGATATATCATTTTATCACGGCTTTCTTGCCTCACTTTCTGTAATCATTGTGTCGGAGCTGGGGGACAAAACTTGGTTCATAGCTGTTATTTTGGCGATGCGACATTCTAGGCTTACTGTATTCTCTGGCGCTATGTCAGCACTTGCACTCATGACTGTTCTTTCAGGTAATTTTTGAAATTTTCTTTGTAAACCGTAATAACTAAGTTGTAGGCATTCGTCAGTTTCACTAAAAAATGCCAGCATATTTTGTTCTCTTTCCATCTTTATTGGGTTTTTAACGATGGAGGTAGCTTAAATAATGAACCTTTCAGTAGGTGAACTGCAAGATCAGTGTTCGATAATTAAGGCATTCATCTTCTACTTAATACATCTTAGGACATGAAAACCATCATGATTTTCGTATGAATCTCTTAATTGCTCATACTATTCCCAATAGCTTGCGGAGTCGGAGACGCCCTGCAAGCAATACACATGGGATCGATCGTGCGCCCCAGGCTCACCAAGCCCTCTATCTCTCCAGGATCGGTATATTCCTACCTGACTTGTCTGGAAGAATAGCAGCACTGGCTCGATACATCGGTCGGCTACCGCAAGTCGTTGTAAAGGCCAGATATGCATTCAATAACCTTCAAACAATGCTTAATGAAGTCGGATGCATGGGGCATCTCTCAGGGATTGATCAACGCCAAGAACTTTATCCTTTATCCTTTATTGCCGATAAGTGTACACGGGAGGTTGAAAAGTGGAGTGAATTTACTCTTAGAAGCACTTCAAAGTTGTGCTTATAGTGGACATGTAGAATCATTTTTTATAAGCCATTAAACAGGTAGTGGAGCAGAATAAATTATTATGGTAAAGGTTTTGTTTATGTGGAAACGTTTGCTTCTTTGTAGATTAGCTATACGGTTGAATTTCCACTGTTCGTTTGTATGTGGTCGAGTAACTCAAAAACAGTGGAAATCATCTTTCAACGTCTTATTTTTTTTACTATTAACAATGACAATGAGGGAATAAAACAAGGGCAATTTTCTAGCCTGTCTTGGCTGGATGTCTCAGTTGATTCCTCGCGTGCTCACCTATTATGCTTCAACCATCCTATTCGCTCTTTTTGGATTAAAGATGATTCATGAAGGATATCATATGTCCGCAAGTGAGGGACAGGTATGGTTTGTGTTCCTTTCCTAAATGTAACAGCGCTGAGGAGAATATGTTGTGGATGAAAACGATATTACTAGTAGCGGAACATTTAGGAAGATTTTGAAGAAGCTCAGGCAGAAGTGACGAAAAGGGAGATTGATCATGATGCCGGAAAATTTGTAGACATGGAGGCTGGAATATCGGGACGTGCGAGGTATTTTGTGACATTTAAATATTTTCCGATGTATGTGTTTTGTGAAGCTGGTATTGTTGGTTTCCATCAGAGATTCATGGTACGTTCAAAATACTCTTGGCTAGTATTTTCTACTTTTGGATCGTACATGTTGAGTAATAAACTGGCAAATTCTTAGATAAAACTGAGACTTGGTATTTCTGAGCGTTTAGTAGGGTACAAATTTGGTATACTAGTTTATACACGACCGAATTTAACTTACTTATTTCTAAGCAGTACCTAGACCTATTACATTGTTCAGTAGTCCACATGAAGCGAACGATGGATCACTTATGGGATTGCTTTGGGTAGCAGTAACGGTATGTTGCGAAGTTTGTTGAGACAGACCTGTTTTCCAACAGGCTACTTTAGTCAAAAACTACTAATTTTCGTTTTTCTATTTATAGTTACTTCAATACTGGTACAGCCTTTCGTTAGTCTCACTTATGTCAGCACATTCTCCATTCATTTTGTTCTCGTTGTTTTCATCTACTTTAGTAGTTTCTTCCGTACAAAATAATGTTTATGAGAGATCACTTAGACCCTTGTATAGTTGCAAACTGTGCATTCAGCTACTTTATGTCAACACAGGAACATCTGCTCATCTCGTTGGTCTTTATCTACCATATGGTTGCATCCTTTGGGTTCTATTACGCCATTCGACTTGTCCAGCAGTTATTCTGATTATATGATCTTCCAATCTTTTTCGGTGTATATTACACTGTATCTCGGAGACGGGTATTTTTGAAATGAACTGCGTAATCCGGCTTGACGTTGATCTGCTCGTCATATATCAAAAGTTTTGGTTCAAATATTGTCTTTGTGGTCCAAAAAATTCTCGACGTGTTTGAGAGGGGAGGGGTTAACCCATGTTAGCGATTCTTGGAGAACGATTGATCGATGTAAGTGTAGATAAATGGATATATTAGTTAACTGATTGCTTCTCTAAGGGGTGAAAACTCATTCCATGTTGCATCTCTGGTTCACAATTTCTCTTTCGTTTAATTTCCGTACTGTGAGTGTAAGGAAGTGGTAGAACCTTCCATTTCAATTTGTTTTATGTTGCATCGTAGTTCTCCTCCAACTCCGATGTGTTCCTCCTCTACCCTGCGCTGTAAATACATATGACACCGTCTCTGCTTTATTGATGTTTCTCGAAAACTTACGATTTCTTTGAAATGAGGTTTGACAGGATTACCCGTTTAGCATAGAGGTCTGAAGAAGGCTTGTTCAGGAGTCGTTTGTTTTAGTGAAATCAGGCGGTTTTTCCATCAAACGTTTGCGAAAGGACAGGCACCACCGCCGAAATGTAGATATCGATGGTCCTGGCTGCGAAATGGATTTGATCTTTGAAGCGGAATTTTTGTCAAGATCTTGTCCTCCCTTTTAGTTGGACTTTGTCAAGATTATTGATGTCTACGACAGGACAATCTCAATGAAGAGTTCGCATAGTTTTTTCGGCATGTAAATTGAGTGGTAAGTGGTAATTGGAAATCCTACCATATCTTTGCTTAAGCAGAATGAGCGCACAAGGTCTTCTACCAGTAATCCTTGCCTTTTGAGGATGTCATTTGGATTGCTAGAAGAGCATGTAGTTCGTGGCCGTTGGTTCGAAGGAAGTCGCATTTGATCGTAAATGGTCTATCAGTTGTGTTTATTTTCTTTTAATTGCAACTCGCACTTTGAAGGACAAAGTGAGCTTAGTTTCTCTTCAGCGGAAATTTTTGTAGTCTAGTGCAGGAATTGTACACGGTACTAATTTTAGTAGGAATTTTTTAAAAATCAATTCCTTACAGGGCGATATGATGTGCACATAAATTTTCGTCCTTCAGTTCTGATAGGTGCACATTATATTTGTGAATATCAGGACGGCATTTCTTCAGAACAGCTCTTTTTGAGCTCCCTCTAGCAATTTTTTCGCAGTACTGATATATTTTGTGAATGGATCTTTGGCAGCATACATTTATTGCCCTTCACGAAATACGTGTTGTATTCCGATTTTTATGGTGGTTATAAAAAATTCGCAGAACTTTCTTTGTAGATCACTTCTTCCAGTGTGATTGTAGAGCATGCCTAAATCGCGCTTCTCAGTTGCACATCTTAGTGAATCGTAACTGATGATGGTTATCTTCTTTTGATGCGGAAATTAAAGAAAGAGGATATCCAGACACGTTGATAAGATCTCATATAAGTGGCCGTGATGCTGGAGACCGGATGATGGACGACAATCTGCGCTACCAACATTTTATACTGGGGCATTCTCTTAACGTATAATAGGGATCTCGTCTAGTTAACTCCTCATTACTCGCACTTTTCGTCTTTTATTTGGTTTTCATATGTAGCTTGATACGGTTTGAGATCTCTTGGAGAACGTGGAAATCGGTGTCAAAACTTCTTAGTATCATAGGCGCCAGTTATTCATTAGTTTCCACAGCATGTTGCTTTGTTGTTCTTATCCAATTCCAATTCAAAATTTTGTCAAACCTCACCGATTTCTTTACTGCGTAGTTTCGTTGACGTGTAAGGTATTGAGTTTGAAGTACTGCTATTCGAATGTTTTTCTTCCAAGGTCCGATATCGCTGTCATATGGTTCTCCCTGATTATCACAAAAAAGTATTCGTCAGCACTTGTAGATAGGCACGAGGTTTTCCACTTTGTGATGGATTCTTCGTGAACGACGGCAGGTTGTGCTTGCACATAAGAATAATGAAGTGCTGAAATGACCCAATAAATCATTGGTGGACGCTTCACCAGCGTCAAGTAGAAAGAGAACAAAAACAATAGGAGAAAAAGCGAGGTTAAGGATTAGGAGCGTGTTCCAGGCGATACATCTGGTTTGCGTTTTTTCTTTGTTTTTGTAAATGATATTTCGAATCGATATTTGAGATGGAATTTTCAGTAGTTATTCGTCTGCATGGCTCATCTTTTCGTTTGTATCGCATATTTTCATCGAGGCATTCACAATGACTTTCTTGGCTGAGTGGGGAGATCGTTCACAGTTAACAACCATCATTCTTGCTGCACGTGAAAACATTGGTATGGTTTTGTTTACAGGCACTAAAATTTTGTATTTTGTGCACAAATGAGACGACTAACTTACATCCCCTCACTAGCTGTGCACCCCTTCCAGCGAGTGCAAACTTTCAATTTTCAATTCTAAAACTTGACCTGAAGAAATAATGATTCTAGTACAATCAGTAGTGGTACTTCTTTCTAAAACTATCAAAGGAACTAGATGAACTCTAAGCAGTGTAATGTTGGTGATTTTAACTCGTAATATTGTATTCTTTTGTATATAAAAAATATAGTCACTCCTTAGGTTGGGCGAGTCTCCTTAGACTCCTTGTGTTGGTCAGCCACAGGAACTGTGAGCAACACGGTTTACAGAGTAATACTATGAGCAGATTGCTCTTAGTTTGTTAATAATACACGGTTGACCAACACAAGGAGTTTAATGAGTCCTATGAAGATTTATGGAGGATCATGCTTCTCAAGACGCTCGAGAACGTTTTTTTTATTTGACCTGAACGAGGTATATTTTTCACCCATGTAAAATACAGTTACTATTTAAATTGCTTGTACTGCTGCTATAGCAAAGATTGCGAACTAACAGTGTTTCATATAATTTCTTCTCATTCATGCCTACGTTTAAATACCTACGTGGATGAAGGTTTGATGAATTGCAACTATTATTGGCCGTTTTAAGCTCTGTATGTATTCGCAACTTTGTTGTTCTTCTTTGATCGTAAAGAAGGGAAGGCATTGAACTAGTATTAGGTTTGTTGTTCTTCTTTGACGGTGAAAAAATGAAGGCAAGGTATTAGTACAGGATTTCAAGTTCAGTTTTTGAAGTGGAATCTATTAGTTTAGAGTAACCTCCATTTATCAAAATAAAAAGTTTAGAATCTACTCATTGTCGACAATGAGAAATAAGTTTATATATACCCGTTGTCGAAATCTCGGGAGTTCTGAAGCCGGTGCAGTCTTCCAGTTTAGAGTAAACTCCATTTATTAAAATAAAAAGCGTAGAATCTACTCATTGTTGACAGTGAGAAATAAGTTTATGTATACCCGTTGTAGAAATCTCGGAAGTTCTGAAGCCGGTGCAGTCTTCCAGTTTAGAGTAAACTCCATTTATTAAAATAAAAAGCGTAGAATCTACTCATTGTTGACAGTGAGAAATAAGTTTATGTATACCCGTTGTAGAAATCTCGGAAGTTCTGAAGCCGGTGCAGTCGTTGAAGGCAGTTTTGGTCTCGGCTTGGTTTTTGTGAATTTCTCGTGCAGAAAGTTGTCGAGATGCTTGAAGAAGTGGTATTCGGTATGGAGGAGATATGCCGAGTATCGTGGATCCTATAAAATTTCATAATCTAGCTTGTCCAACCTTTGCTGCTTCGGTAGTGAGACGTGTAGCCGCGTGTTATCGTGTAGATAGATTGCTATTTGTTGAGCAATGCCGGGTACAGATATCGAAGTTTCTGGTGCATTACTGAACGTATTTTTCCGCCGTAATGGTTTCACACCAATTTAGGGAGCTGTGATGGATTAAACTAGCAAGGAACCACCAAATGGTTAGCAAGACTTTGTTTTGCCGCATTTCGGTTTGGGGAAGAGCTGCAGAGCTTCGTCGCAGTCCAACCATTGAGCTGATAGTAGTTGGTTATTATAGATCTACTTCTCGTCGTCTGTCACAGTACCATCAAGGAATGGGTCGTTTTTGCGCAGGAGCGTTAACAGTACCTGACAACTATATGTGGCTGTTTCGTAGGTCATCCATTTGTCGAACTTTTTGGACTTTCTAGTTTTCCTTAGACACTCCGATACAACTGAAGTGCTCACACCGAGTGTTTATACAAGCTCGTCAGCAGTTGTGCATGCATTCGCTTCCATCAAACCCTTTAGTTCGGCGTCGTCAATAGCAGAAAGCTTTCCGCGCCATTCCTCATTTTCAACGTTCAATTTCCCACGACACATTTTTGAAAACAGCGTTGCACTGCGCATTTATTCGCAGTTCCTTGTTTTCATATCTCGTTAATATTTCGGGCAGTTTATTCTACACTATGACCAAGTTTGAATTCGTAAGTGTAAATTTGTTGAAGCTGTTGTTTGGCATGTCTTACTGTGATCTGTAAAATCTGTTGAAACTACAACTTTTAACCTTTTGTTTATCGCCTGGTGCAATTTTTTACGGCAGGTTATTATGTGGAATACAACTACAATGATGCTGAGATATTTGTAAAACTCAGGACCGCAGATGTATGCGGTGGGGAACGAATGCTGTTACCTTTACCGAGTACTGATGCGTTCACCACCACACCATGCGGGTCCTTCTTTTCAGTTTCGTTTTCTCAGCTGGTTTTCTGTTTACCACTGCCATCATCAATCATCCGTCAATTGAGCTATTTATTTACCTATTGTCAATTAAAATTATCTACAATTTGTATTATTATTCACTTATACAAAACGAAATTGCATAAACTGAGGTTAATGTCGACATGTAATAGTACAGCATTCGAAGCAATTATTGCTTCAATATACTGGAAGAATGGAGTTACAAATCCCGTATTAATTCCCGAGTAACCGCGTTCATTCCTCGATGTCCTTAAGTTTAGCTGATTTTCACAATTTCTGAATTTGCACAGGGCTGTGCAGTAGTAATAATCGCAAGATACAATTAGCACAGTGAATGAGGTTGCAGAATTCCTTCAACTTCAGTGTTATTTGTCCGTATTGACGAACCGTGTCTGTCGGCCATGCATGGACACAAACGTTCACGGTTTTGAAGGATTTTATCGATTTCGTAACCCTGCGTTCTGGAAAACTTTATATTCAAGACTAAAGCCATTACCAGTCACCCCTGTACCGAAAATTGAAAAGCTGCTTGATTCATAGGAGCATTTCATCGTATATCGCAATACGACCGTGAAAAAAACACGAAACTTCATGACATCATGAGGATGACCTCACTGCTATTCGTTCAGTTCGTGTGACACCAAATTGTCGAGCTTTTTCATTTTTCATCATATTCCGAATAATGAAAGAATGCTAAATCGTAAGTGTTGAGTTTTCCTACAATCCTTCGTTTAGTTTTAGACGACTAACTTACATCGTAAGCTTCAAATAGCCGCCATTAACAAATGTTAAGTACCCAGGGTTTTCTTTTTACCGAATGTTCCTGTGTGCGTTACGAACCCTTGCGAAATGTCTCATTGTCTGTTCGAAAGCTATTTTTTGGCTTCTGGTTTGACAGTGTTCTTTGTTCTTACCGGTGCTTCATGTCAAAGTTTGAACTTCTGAACCAAGTGACGTTTTCATTATTTGGGAGCATTATTTTAATCAGTCTGAGATCGTTACACTTGGTTGCAAGGTCGTTAAAACGCTGTGCAGCGACTATGTACAGTATGAACCATGTACGGTTCCTACGTGGATGGAGCAGAACGGCCCATACTAATAAATCGTTTTCTTTCTGAGTGCTTGTTTTGTTTAAGCAGTAGCTTATCCAACATAGATTTTCTGGCAATTGGAAGTCTATATTTTCTTCTGTGAGTTTGTTTGTCTGACCGTGCCATATTGATATCACTACCTTTGGTGAGGTGTGATAGCAAAGATTCCCGTCGCGAATGCGCGATCACCAGTGTGTTTCCACATATCTTTGAGAAGATTACGGATATTCAACAACGTTTTGATCAAGCATGGGTAAATAGACATGCAACACATATAAAGATGCAGAGGTGTTATAAAGTAGACTGTAGAAGGCTGACAACATTGCAGTTGACAGTGGACGAGATTTTATTCGTCACATACAAGAGTTGGAAATATAGTAAAAACATGGAAGGATACGAAAAATATGGGATGCGGTGAATATAGAAAATTATGATAAAGTGTTTAATACTTGAATATCTCGTCTTCACCAATAACAAGGATATGTGTGAGTACCAGCACAATTTCCATTTGACACCTTATTTGCTGATTGGACAAGATTTTTCTCCAGAGTCTCGAATGTTGTGCTGAGGCTTTTCCTGTCATTGATCAATTGACACCAAAAAATGTCTTTGTACTTTTGTACTACTTCACTTAAGACTTCCTATTGTTTGTTTTCAGCGGGTGTGATTAGTGGTGGAATCCTTGGCCATGCCTTATGTACTGGTATAGCTGTCGTCGGGGGCAAATTAGTTGCTCAGCGATTATCTGTTCGAACAGGTTTGGTATCTCAAGTGCTGTTACTGTCAATTTTCTTAGTCATAATGTTTGAAGCCAATGTTCTACGCTATACTGTTTCTCTCATCGTTTTTTCAGTTCTGTTGAGCGAAAGTATTCTGTACTTATTCTCTCTTACTGTTTTTCAGTCACACTGGTCGGTGGTGTTGTTTTCCTGATTTTTGCTCTGTCAGCATTTTTCGTAAAGGACGTTGAGGAGAAACCATTGCGGGTTGACTATTCATGATCGTATTAGTTAGTCCTTATAGACCTAAGCAGTTGTAGCTCGTTATTAATACTGTGATGATTATTATTCATTTTATCTTTGAAATCCTACGGGATGTAGAATGTTTTATTTATTAGTTGAAAAAATTACTTATTTTTCATAGATTTTCTACCATTTCAATTTTTCAATTCAATCTCACTTCAATGTCACCTCAATTCCCTGCTAATCTACTAGCAGTAAAAATACAGCTAAACAGGGAAATGTTGAACAACGACATTATTTTGTGTGGAATAGATTTATGTTGCTTTAATGATCAAGTGGAATATAACTTTTAGTGTTGATAACTTTTACTTCCCTTCGAAAAGGTGGATCCTACAAGCGAGAATCCTTTCGTAATGATACTTACTGCGCTGTTTTTTCGCAAAACCGAACTGTTTTAGCTTCTCTTATTTTTTCGCTTTACGTCTTTTTCAAGGCTGTATGTTGTGTGAAGAACTCAGCTGAGATTCCATGTCTTTAAACACTGTCATCTAGGATTTGTGCATCAGAATTCTTAGGATGTTTCTCATTTCACGATCGTTCTGAGAAATGAACAGTTACTGTTTGTATTAGTTTGTCACTGCTATTCAGGGATTATAGTGGTAATCCAGGGTTAACTAGATGTATTATTGCATTCAAGAAGTTTAATTCTGTATTACTGTCCTTGTCCTTTTTTCAAGCATGGGTAAAGTACCTTCATTTTGTTTTCCTTCGTTTCTTCGTTTCGTTTGTCTTTTATGTGTACAGATTAGTGTCTGATCTGATCTTTCCAATTTATCCACGTTCGAATTGAACTTTTAGGAAGAACGAGATTGATTGCATGTTGATGGCATTCTTTAACGAATATTTTTATTCATTCTGTTATGGCTGTCTCAGTGCCGCAATGTGTACTTAGAGCTATTGGGCATTATGTGTTCGGCGAGCTGATTGGTTTGTATCGCATCATTCTGTGATAAATACGTTCATTTTGACAAGTAGTCATTTTGACAGTAATACGTTGATAAAATACTATTTGATGAAGCCAACTCCTTTACTTCTCCTGCTTTCGGAGAAGTTCTTGCGAATTCTACGAAGAAAAATGGTCCAGATGAAGTTTGCTACCTTACGAACGGGAACTGTCAGATAAAAGAAATTCTAGAAGTAAGGATAATTTATTGTTTAAGTCGTTTATTTTGGTGTATGTTTAAAAAATTCCTCAGTATCGGTGGTTTTGCCTAATGTGAGTTTGATAATCGTAAGCACTCAGTGCTCATCGACCGATCGTATTGAAGTGAATGATCGTTGGTTTGCAAAACACCACTTAACTTTGTGCTCTGATAAGAAAGTCGTGGAGTTTTGCTATAAAAGGATGAAAAGAATGCAGCTCTCGGCGTTGATCAATCGCTGAGGGATACGCCATGCATTCGACTTAATTAAGCATCGTTGGAAGTAATTGAATACATACCTGGCCTATACAATGACTCGCGGTGGCCTACCGACGTATCGAGCTAGTGCTGCTATCCTCCCAGACAAGTCTGGTACCTATTTACCGACTCCGGAGGGATAGAAAACTTGGTGAACCTGGGGCGCGGGATGAATCCCGTGTGTATTGCAGGGTACTTCTAAGCACTATGCTACACGTGACCGAAGTTTTGCAATATATACTATATGGCTTTGCTATATGGTTTCGAAATGTGGCATATTCGTAGCTCTCTTGGAAATCATCAAGAATTTCAGGGAAGCCTTTAATGATCAGTGTACTCGTGTTCGACACATTCAGTGGTAACCATTTTTGTCAATTAAGCAAGTGTCCCCATATGTCCAATTGTGTGATAGTACGTGGTTCGCGCAACTGGTACAAGAATTGCTTGATCTGAAGATGTTCGGAGGATTGTCGGACGTCTAACACAATGCTGCTAGTAGGAGCTCGTATAGTTACACAACCACGCCTGCAGTCCCACTTTTCATCCATATTTCAGATCATCTCCACATTCGCATTCCTTTCAGTACCTGATCCAGAAAACTTCTTTATTTTAGTACTTTCTTAACTTATACCAATGGCTAGCGCTTAAAGTTGAACACAGCTATCGTCCCTGAAACCAACCTCATGCTTTCGACTTCGATCTAATCGACTTGGAAAGGGAATTTGTTCATCACCAAGAGTTAATTACGAATAAAGGAGTGTAAATATTTAATTTTGTAAAGCATACATGTAGTTGTATGTGTAGTTATGCTGTGGGAAGGATTAAAAAATTCCACCTTTTAAAGATTGCACTCCGAATTGTGCTAAACTGGAACAAACACGACAATTCGCGCAGAATGAAAGAAACTATCTATGTCTTCATTTTTATTGAGTCTTGTCGAGAGCGGTTTGGTGAGTGCGATTTACTTGTGCTGGAGAACATATGTACTATTTTTCTGTAGATTTTAAACAGCAGATAACATATATTGACGGAAAATGGAAAATACTGATGCCAACAGAGTGTTCATGAAGATCGATGGATCGGTTAGACCTCTGCTCCCGTTTTTTTCTAACTTGAACTGGGTAGTGATAATGTTCCGTGGAGCGGCGTTGATACATCTCAAAACTGGCTGTTAGTTAAACAAACCTATAATTAGAGATAATGAAATTATAAAGTAAAAGACGTTGTACTGTACAAGGTAGGTTTACTTGGTACTTGATACTTGAGTGGCCCGTCCTCATTGGTTGTGCTGCTCCCAACATAATCTCCAATTTTCGGAGATTTGCTGGTTAAGCCATTGTGGTTCCTCGGAATCCTGTGGTTAGTTAGCATGGCCAAAGTCTGCCCCAGGTCTTCACCACCACAAGCAGTCGCAGCCTTTGTCGATCAGAGGGAGATTTGCCACCATGTGACTTTGATACCAGGTCGGTGGTCGGTTCTGGCAATGGTTTACTTCTAACTAGGCTTCGTGATGGGAATGCCGGGCTCCTTCTCAGCATGGGAGGCCCTGCCAGGGGATGAATCTCCCTCTATACATCGCAGTCCGACATTCAGGGACACCTCACAGCCACGAGGGGGCGGTAAACCGTTGGGAGGAAGGTAGATTTATTAATGGGTAATTAAAATTAATTATAAACTTATTTTAGTAATATTTACGTCTTTTATGTTAATACAGTACAGTGTTTGTTCTGTGTGGAGCTTTATTGATCACCTTATTCGGATATTGAGTTAACCTCTAATATGAAAACCAAACTTCACAAAAGAAAAACTTAACTTACGTGTATGCTCTGATGGCCAGTACTCCCACACCATGCGTTTTGTCGCCTTAGATCTCTCATCCACAGAAACCGTCCCGAACTGGCTTCGGCCTCCACTTGAGGATCATCACAAGTGGCAAACTTCTATCATTGAAATTTTGACTAGTCGAACGTCATTTCTTTTAAAACCTCCAGAATGCAAGGCCAAGGTGTCCTTAGATCTCGGGCTATCGCTAGACCTTGTGGATCGGTGGGAAGAATATTGCCTTTCAACTCATGTTCTAGTGGAAGTTCAGTGGTTCCTGTAACGGCAATCAATCCTATAGTCAGCCGACAGAGCGTAGTACTTGGATGAATGCACCGGAGATATGTAGTGGGTGCCAGTGGAATACAGTTCGAGTCAGCTGTCAGATCCGATCGTTAGCTTGAAATAGAATGCTCCACTTCGTACGGATTTGCCACGGGGGAATTTTTGACATCGTCACAGAGGAAAATCTCAAACTCTAAAGATCTCGAGAATGTGAAGCGATATGAAGAAATGTTAAATGTGGTTAATAGCCACTTCAACTAGCGTAGGAGACCTATGGGAATACAGGAAGTAAGAACTATTTGGGAAGGAGTTTCTATGAAATGATTGTGTTCGATGTGCTAGATCGAACATCACAGAGAGGAATGTTGACAACGATGTCGATCTAAAAATGTATCTTCTGTTAGATTCGGGATTTGGTATCAAATGTATTCGATGCTGGATTTACAAACTTTCAAAGAGAGAATCGGATCTAGAGGCTGGGCTAGAAATGGAAATTTGTCTCATCAGAGGATACCCGATTTTCGAGAGTGCATTTATGGACAATAAGAACATGATAGTCAATTCATCTTACTAGTAATCGTGATGTTCCCGGAATTCCGTCTTATTCAATTAACATTCTGAATTCCAATAATGCAAAAACAATGTACGATTGCCCTGGTATCACCAAGTATCTACGTATTCAAATCTGTTCAATAAGTTTAAACGATATTATCGTACATACTTGAAATGTCTCCTTAGAAGTGCAGCTCCATGTAGCTGCTGATAGTTTTGAATGCACTGCTAGATTTACAAGCAGTTGTAAATGTGTTTGGTTTCATCAGAGCGTAAAAGTAGTACATCTCGTGCTCGTTCCGTTGCCGTGATATTCCCAGTTTGGAAATTGGCTAGATTAACTTCTAGAAGATTCTCATTCGCACCAGGAGTTCATTAGTTAAAGTCATATGAAGTAGTACGAAACCTTTATGATTATTTCTCATCGTATATTCTAACTGTAGGATATGTTCATTGTCGATAAAAGCGTTTTATGTTGGAGCGGTCTCTTCATTTAGCGTGGAATTCTAACATAGACAGGTCGAAGGGGAGATTTTTAAACTGAGAATGTCAGGAATGGACGAGTTTTATAAATAGGTTCTTCTGGAAAAGTGATCTGTGAGCTCCAGAGCGCTAGTGTAACACGAGAACGAAGTGGTTCCAATTTCTATCTAGCATGTCTTGAAACGCTGAATGCGAAATATGGAAAGTTATTATGGAATAATATTTTTTTAAGAACTATGAGTTAGTGATTATTTCAGTTTAAATACACTGTGGAAGGGTTATTTACGATAAGACTATACTTCAAAAATGATGCCTTTACCATTGAATGGATAAAGCGGATATTTCTTAGATTCCACCAAACTGCTGGTTCTTCACTTAATTTTTTCGCTAGACAACTGAACTTAATTATACTGTTTTCTAACAGGGTTCATTGGCAAAAGCCTGTTCGAGAATGAATTTATAATGTCTTGGCATTGGTCATTACCGTCATTAAGAACCGACTTGTTTTTTATAAGCTGCAGTTAGTCATTTAGATAAACTTCTTGAGAGCATGAACCTCAACAGGTATGACACCCGATGATATGATCGAAAGCGTGGAAACAGCGTCACCAACGAATACATCTATAGTGGCACGTCCAAAGAAGAAAGAGCCAGAATCCAGTGAAGACAGCCTCATTCACGTGACAAAAACGACGAGCACGAATAAAATATCGTTCAAGAAAGTTCCGAACGCTGATGAAGACATCTCTGCAGATGAGGAGACGTGAGTTCACTGAAAGAATTAGCTACATCGTCATAGTCGAGACCACCCAACACTACGATCAGAATCAGCTGACATTAGTAACCGATAGCATAATTAATTGATAGCAGTCTGTTGTAGCACAGAATTTGTCGTAGAGTAGGGTGTTGCAACCACGATCAACTCGTTAAGGGCTGGATGTCTTTTTAAGCCTGATGAGACATTCAGACGCAGTCTAGTCGCATATTCTTGAACCTTGACGCTAAAGCAATTATTTTTTCGAATATCTTATTCCATGAATGTGATATTCCTGAAAGAGTAATGTTTAGAAACTGTCTTCTCAAATTTCTGAATATTCCTTGTTCATTTAAGCCCAAAAGGGTTGCGATCGTTAAGATTAAGGTGGAATCAGAATGTCAGTACATTTTTTGTGACTATCAGCTTTATCTGAAAGAAGAAAGATTATTTCACTGAAAAAGAGAGCAGAATTTGGTTTCCTAATTCATACAGTGTACGAAGTCAGAAATCCTTTAGCATCATGGGCTCCATCTCCGTACGGAATTTGCACTAAGTTTTATAAATAGATTTCTCATCTGTGTTCTTTATAGGCCCGTCGAGTGACGTTCCGTGGTGTTTGCACTTTTCTCACGAAAGCAAATTCTATAAGGATAGGGATTATTTGCCTCTCCAGCTTAGTTTTCTTCGTTTGCATGATCCTATTTGTCATACATGTTTTTTCGTCGGGAAATCCATCCAAAATTCTACTATTACCACCACATATTGTTTTTAGTTCCATGAATTATCTGAAGATTTTCATTTACTTTTATTTAACTACATGGCCGACTTCACCTATGGTGCGCATCCCAGCACTTCTCCCATGCGGACCTTTGCATCGCATCGTTCCTCCACGAAGGTCCTGTAAACTACGTGTTCATTTGGCTGCTGTTTTAGGAGTTTGTCTTTTTCATCAATGTTGCTAATTGTCAGTCGACTCCGACCATCATGAAATTATGGGCTATTTCGTGCCCAGGTATTCACTAAAGAGGCAATCGCCGACCTCTGTGGATCGGAAAACGCTTTTTGTAGCTAGTTTTTTTAAAATATGGTCCATCTTCATTTCTATTGTACGGATCCTAGCACTTCTCACATTCAATCCGTTTCCTAGCATCCACTGTCCACAAAGATCATCCAGCTGCTACGTGTGGCTTCTGTTGCTCCTTGAGGATTTTCATTTCATCTTGAATGTCGTATAATGCTGGCCCAGCAGTTCTCCCTGGAGTTCTGAGATAACCGGGCTAGAGCGTTCCCAACTGGGGATTGGAGAGAGTGATTTTTTTCCTAGACAAGTGCGGTACCAATTTCCCGATCTCGGAAGGATGAGAGATTTGGTTTCCCCGGATCGGAATCAAACTAGTACCATGCTCGTAATGACGGACATCACTAGCATTGCGCTATCCTTCCCCTCTTGGGTTCGCTGCTCAGGAAATTCTTGGAGATAAGTTGGGTATCAATTCGTTAACTTCGCAAGAATGAATTGCTTCTTTGGCCCAGAGTAGCATCGAACAAATGACCATACTTGTGTTATTTTACATCATCTCTAAATCCGACGCTGCTTAATTCGCAGCGTTAAGCCAGACCTCTCAAACTAAGGTAATTAAACTGTTTATATACTCAATATCAGTGCAACAATCGTGCAATGATCTTTGAAGACGTATAAGCAGTAAATTGCATGCTAAGATGAATATAAGCGTCATATGTAAGGAATAGCACTAACCATATTGTAGAGTAAATCACAATACAGTTGCCTTTTAATGAGACATGAAGCATAAATAGATACACTGTTTATAAGAATGCGAAGCTCAACGTTTGTTCGCTATCTCATAGAATAAAGAAAAAATCTAATGTAGACGGTGCGATCAGCTAGTATATAAGCAAATGGCGTGGCGCTAATTATACTCGGGTGAGGGAGCCTGTTGGAAGGTCTGGTTATCAGGCGATGCTATTTTGCCCGGTCGTTATATATAGGTACGAATGTCAGTAAACGGCGCTACAAGATATACATACTCATTGTAAGAGACATAGCGAGATAGAGGATAGAGAACAGTTCGCTGAAAATATTCTCTACATGCTAATATTACAAAAAAAGCTGACTACCAACATTAAGGTGATAAATGATACGATGATAGGGTGACGCCCCCATACTTACGAGTTCGAAGGTTCATTCTTTTTCAGTAACAAATAAGCATTTTCACACGTGAAGGCGAAAACAACGCATTTCGCTCTCAGTGATATTCAACTCGATGTTTGTGAATCCTTAAATTTTTAGCTTTTTCTGGTTCTATACAACTGTGTGCCTCTTGAGATGTGTTATTATCACTTATCATCTCCGCTCTTATCTCTAAGCAAGGGCTATGTATTTGTTACAATGAGAATATTCTTTTTATGCCTATGAGAAATTTCATAGCTTATTGCTTTTATTAAGGTATATATCAGAAGTCCATTATGGTTTTTATATCATTTTTGGGCATTTTACTTTTCCTCGTAATCTTCGAAAGTTTCGCTGTCGCAAACTGGCGAGTTAAAAGTTGTAAGTTTGGTCTGATAGTGATCGTCGGTGATCGAACAGCCTAACGTATCCATTTTCCTCCACCAATTAATAGTAGTAGAAACCGACTGACTGAAAGCTTCGGAATTCCAGTGAAGTACTTTGTGATATCATTGGAGCGAATCTGCTATATACTGAAACACGCTTAAAGATTAGGATGTCGCTTGAAGATTCGACTAATTCTCATTTCACTGGCGATTTTGTTGGTTGTACCTAAGGAATCTGGAGATTGCCTTGCTAAGGTAATCTCAGGTAATTGCCGTAGGCATCCACCACTCCTCATGGATCGGACGAACGTTCGTTACTATTAGATGTTGTTGTCATTTATTTAATTCATTGTAGGAATTGTAACTCTATTTGGGCATCTCCCATTACGGTACCACCTTGTTCAAATATGCAACAACCCGTTCCCTCGTCGTAGACATTTAGTGCCTTTTACGTCACGTCAGGGTGTGTAGATGACGTCTCATTCATTCTCTGGGTTGTTGATCCTCGTGCTTCTGCAGTCTTTTCCATTGATTTTGTCTCGTTATTTTCATTGCTTCCGTTGTTTTCATACCACCGATTGACAATTTAAGGGACTGAAAACCAGTCAATTTGTTTACAAAAAGAACCTCGCGTTGTTTTTGTACGAAAAGAGAGTTGTCAATGGTGACGAACTGTAAGTAGAATGATGTGATGAAGCATTTTGCGAATTCTGATTTCCTTGGTTTGGTTTGGTCCTGTACGTGGATAATTTCATTTATCTAAATTACCTTGAGCACTTATTGATGTTTACTAGGCTTCCTTTTTTTGCAGTGTACAATCACTGATTAATATTGAAAAATAGGAGTCTTAAACTTAATCACTTTTCGCTTACTGCCTATTATATTTCATGGCCGTATGATGGGAATTTTTATCACAGTGATACTGAGATATTTACAAAACACTGGACAGCTAGTTTCTGCGGTGGGGATCGAACACGATATTACCGTTTCCTGTGGCTAACGCGTTCATCATCATAACATGCAGGTCTTCGTTTCGCCTTTCTCTAACCTGTATTTCAATTTCGAACACATGTATTTTCGATAACTGCTCTGTTATTTAAGTTTCTTTTCCTGACCAGTACTTTTTGAGTTACATCTACTATAAGAAGATAGTCGCTCCGTAAGAAGCCGCTGAGTAATTTAGTACAGACAGTTTCAAATCAACCTCTTTTTTTGTTTATTCTGACGGTATTTGCTCGGGTGTGACCTCGCAACAGCGCCCTTCACTTTTGATTAATCAATGCCCTTGGTAAAAGCTGCAATTTCCGGTGTTTTTGTTGTTTTTTTAAAAGACGGTTCTTCTTTGAAGTTGTCTCACCTAGGTTTAAACAGTTATTGTGAATGATTCAGTATGTCCATCAGAAAACCATCACTCTCTTCATTGTTAATCTGGCTTCAGGAACTGCTTCGGTGCTTCACACTTGCCTAACCCTGACATAGAACTTCTTCGGTCAGCAAGTAAAATCCATTTTTCGTTGTAGGCCAAAATGCGTTTAAGCAATAGACATTTTTTGACCTACAGGCCCTTTCAGCAATCACCCATCAATGGGATTGATTTCTGGAGCATAAATCGGCATGAACCCAGTTGAGCAGAAGCTGTGGTATTAATCACAGTGTCGTCAATTTGTATTTCCTGCCTGGTAGTTCTTAATGGCAGGCTATTATGTGTAATATAACCGAATGTTGCTGAGATGTTTGGAAAACTCCAGATCGCTAGTATCTGCGGTGGGACCCGAACACGGTATTACTCTTTTCAAGGGATAGCGCTTTAACCACCACACCATGCTAGTCCTTCATTTCGCCTCTCTCTCAGCTGTGTTATTGACCTATAGGCGCTGCAATCACCCGTGTATTTGTAGATATTTTTTCCATGGAAACGAAATGCAGAAAGTACTTTATACCGAGCACACGGTCACCTCCGTTTAAATATTGGCATGCGCTTCTGATTTATTTCTTTTTCTTTTTTTTCCATTGGAGTTGTCTCATCACAATTGCTTTGCTCGCTCTTAATTTTTCTTTTCGGAAGCTCTCAAATGATTATGAATGGATTTGATCTAATTAAAGTCCTTAAGTGGGTTCCTTTAATTGCAGTAAATCTTTCCGATCCTCCCCGTCTTCAGGGTTCTCATCTACATCACGAAACTATCACGGAAGCTGATGTTTCTCCATTCGCTCTTGTGACTGTTTCTACGAATAATGCTGATAACAAATTTCACAAAAAAATTGGACATCTGAACAGTGACAGTGTCATTTAGCAAAAGATATGAGTAAACATTGTGGTGACGCCACTCGTATGTTTATTTGTCATAAAAAATGGAATGCTCATATTACTGCAGTAGTAAGATCGAAAAAAAAATAGTTGGACTTCATTAATTCTTCACCATGAGTATCGTTGAA